GTTCGGGAGGGGATCGGTGTTTCTTGATTGCCTCACAGCTTGCCCAAAGTTTCCCTAAGTTTTTTCGATGGGGAACCGAAGTCTAACTGATGGAAAACAGGGGCCTCGTTCCTTTTTCAGGGTTCCTTTTTTCGGGGGACGAAATCTATACATATCCACTGCTCCCTGGCCAGGCCCATCCTGAACCCAGGAGCTGTGTATACGCCCTCCTGGCCAAACCAGGAGGGCGTGGCGTATACACAGCTGCTGTGTTCAGGATGGGCCTGGCCAGGGAGCAGTGGATATGTATAGATTGCGTCGCCCTACTTTTAGGTCAACGCCCCGACCGCATCATCCTCGCGCGCCCTGCCCTCAGGCTTCGACTACCTGCACTACGCCCGGACCCGCTGGCTCCACGCGCCAGCGGGGACGCGGAAGAGCGAGAAGAGCGAGAAGGGGCAGGGCGGACGGGCGTACGGTAGGTTTGCGTCGTGTCGACCAGCGGCGACCCCAGCGCGGGCGTTCAAGGTTGAACGCCGCCGGCGACCCAGAATCGATCGATGTTGAACGATCGGACGTTAGCATTGTGGAAGTCGACCAGTGGAGGGGAAGCATGCTGTCCAAGAATTTCCAGATGTCTAGAAAGGTGTCTCAAACATGCCTTACATATGTTGAAAAGAAACATGTGTGAAACGTATCTAGAACATGTTTTTTTTTTTGTTTTGCACGTGTTGAGCACATCTTTGGTTCAGTGATAGGGTTGGTAGAGTGACCATTGTCAGGGCATCCGCAAGCATAGGAGACGCATCTTTCTGACGAGTGCACACGTGGGAACGTGGGGTCGGCAGTTCAGTGCGGATTCGACTGCCGAGCAATCGCGGCTCGCTCCTCCTGCTCCCGCTCCCTGCTGTTGCTCCTGCCCTCTCTCCTGCTCCCTGCCAGTGCTGGTCTCTCTCATGCGCACCCTGCTGCTGCAACCCACCCCGGACTGTATCTCTCGCGTTTTCCGCATGATGCCATCGCCTCTGGCACAGCCGGATGGCCATCAGACCAGGCCCCTGCGATTCTTGCCTACCTGTCCAGGATGGTCGAAGCCGCCGTCGGCACTTCTGAAGCGTCCCGCCGAACCCCGACCTCGGTGGAGTGCTGGCCTCGCCAGGAGGCGCGGCTGGAGGGCAGCGCCCAGCGCCCAGGAGGGCCCGGTGGCTCCCACATGATTATCGTTTCGTGATATATGTGGTGGCTAGTGTTTTCGTTTGTTGGTTTGTTTTCCTGTTTGTTGTTTGTTTGTTTGTTTGTTTGTTTGGTTGCTGATCTCTCTCTTTCCGTTGTTTGTTCTCTCTTCCTCTCGCTCTGTGTCTCTTTGTTTTCGTTTATCTTTTTTTGTCTTCTCTCTCTCTCTCCCTCTCTCCAGCCACTGGTGTCGGCCGCCTGGCGGCGTTTGCAACCCGTACGTTCCGCGTTGATTCTCCTTTTGTGCCGCCCAGCTGCGTTGGAAAGGCCACGTTCTGAGTTGCGTGTGCATCTTCTCGCAGCCCGTGCCAACCGCCGCTGGACAGAAGTGCTTCTCCTCATGCGCTGCAAGTCAACTCCCGACCTGCGGCTCCCGAATTGATCAAGCGATCGCCCTCCCAGCAGGTGTCGTCTGAAACCTCTCGAGCCCTGCACCGAGGGGCACTCCTGAGACATTTACGCCGGCTTGAACCCAGACGCCCGACGTTTCGCTTCTTGTTTCTCAGCGCGCTGGCCCCACAGGTCTCGACCCCTCTCCCCTCGGCGCCCCATCTCCGCGCAGCCGGCGTCCTCTGGGGGACGCGCGCAGCAGACGCCCACGGTCCGCCCGCTGCATGGTGCAGGGGGGGGGCCGGGAGGCGGGCGCCCGCAGGTTCCTGTACAAATACCAGAAGCGCGAGATGCTGCACCAACAGCGGAAGTGACAGCGACAGCGACAGCGCTGACCACAATTGCGGGAGCTGTGTTCCTTACCCCCCTGTGGGGGCCCATCGCATCGACGATCTCTCCGGAGGGGTGTGGAAACCGATGGGCCCCCCAGGGAGTGAGGACCACGCCTCCCGCAGTTGTGGCTTGTCTGGCCGGCTGCATCTCGGAAGACAGCGCGCGCCGACCAGCGCGAAAAGGTGCGTTGGGCTTCGGCAGCACAGGCGCGCCGCGGCCACAGTTGCTACGCCGACGAGGCCTGCCACTCCGCGCCCCCAGACCCCCTGGTCTCGGAGGTCGATCGGATCGCCCACATGCCAAATCGATTCGCGAATTACCATGTTTCGATTCTCGAGAGGGCGTTGCGACCGCGCTGTTTTCGGGCATGCGCCCGACGGGTCTGGTCCTTGGTCGCTTTCACTGCAGCGTGTGATGCTAATGGGCGCTCTGCCCCCCCCCGAGGGTCACGGGAAAGAGCGCCTACGCGCCGCGCTGACGGGGCGGCGACCCCCGGCGCGGGCGTTTCTGTGTTGAACGACGCCAGTGATCTGGAGCCGGACGGTATCAAAGGATCTTCCGCCGTTGGGAGGCCGCGGTCGCTCCGGGGTGAGCCGGCCCGCCAACGCCCACGCTCGACTACACTCAGACGACGCGAAGATCGGGACAAAATCGGATCGGGATAACTCGAAATCTCTGAGGATCGGCGGGTTTGGAGGATATATTGGGCGCCGCGGCCGCCCCAGAGCGTTCCGGAACGCTCTGAGAGCGCTCCGGAACGCTCTGGAGCGATTTATCCCGATCCTAGCCCTGTTTTATACACTTGGAGGGTGCCAAAGGTGACTCTGGCGCCCCCTTCCAGAGACTTTGACTTTTCGAGTGGGCACGCTGATTCTCCGAGGAGGTGTTTTCTGCTTCTGCATTCTCATGTTCGGCCATCTGCAATCAAGGGCATGATTCCGAATCCTCATGCTCGGCTTGTGCCTCCCACGGCGAACGGCGCGATCCATCGGCCTGGATGCCGTCCCGAGACGGGTGTGCGCGGTGACGCCTCAGTGCCCACTGCGCCTCCCGCCTCCTCTCTCCTAGACCAATTTCTCAACAGCTTGAGCTGGCACGCGCGGAGGCGACCCAGCCGCTTCCGTCTCCGACGCGGCGCGGCGCGCCGCGCCAGGAAACCCTCCGACGGACTGGCGGGCCGGGCGGCCGAAAAGCTGCTCCGAGGGAGGACCCCGATCCACAACGTCAGGGGCAACGTTAGGGGGGGATCGGGTCAAGGGGGGCTGCATGGACCCCAATCGCCCACTTGTCGCTGATAGGTGCCCGATAGCCCGCTCTGCCCAGGAACGTGCAGATTCGCTGCCGGGGGCTTACCGCCGATCGGTCGGCGGTTCGTCGCCGATTCCAAGACCATGCTTCCCCCCCCCTGAGCCGGTGCCCCGGGGGAGGGTCCCCTCCTCACCGTTGCCCCTCAATGGCGGCGCGCACCAGGGATGGCGGCCTTCGAAGAAGGCGGGGGTGTTCTTCGAAGGTAGCCTCTTGCTCTGACGAGGTGGGACCTCGATCCCAACGTCTTTGGAAGAACAGTGAAACTGCTTATGCGTAAACTCTCGGATGTCCGCGCGAATTCCTTGGGACGGCTCTGCACAAGGCTGGCGATGCCTCCTGCGCTGAGCCTGGCTCGCTCCGCAAGCCTCGGGAGGGGGTCCAGCGAAGAGAAGAAATCCGCGCGGACCTCCGACAGCTTATCTTTCTGCAGTGCTTTGTTCTTGTATTTGTGAGGGGTAGGCCGGGGACAACAAGACTGATGAGCTGCAACACGTTGGCCTCTAAGCGCAGTTTTCGGGCTCCCTAGCCGTTGACAGAAACGACCTGGGACGAACCATAATGCTCCCGACCATTCTTCTCCGTGGATTTCTGCTCTCTCCTCCTCCGAGACCGTGGCCTCCTCCAATGTGGCCGTGCTCCTGGTCGTGGTCATCTCGACGGCCATGTGTTTCAGCCATTCGCGAAGAATTTGTCCCCGAGAGTGGGTCCAAACTTCCAGGGCCCGCGGTTGAGCTACGGCATCGAATGGCGGGGGAATGGCCCAGACCTCCGATGTCATGATCGTTCCTCGGCGTGGGAACCATGTCTTCTCTGTGGACCCTCTTCCCCAAGACAGGCTGTTCAGCTCGAGCTGTTCTCTGACGGTCTTGGGGCCCAGAAGCGGCTTCCACATGCCGACGATTGAGAAACACCCAATGGTTCACGAGTCAGGGCACCTTTGGCAAAACATGTCACCTAGAACTGTCCTGGAATGTTTCCTGGCTTGGTTTTCGAGGTGGATCCTGCCGCAGTCACGAGAGCGCCCGAGGACGCCCCAAAGGCATTGAGGTCTGATACCATCCCTTGGTCCGCGATCTTCGAGGAGGAGGCGGACGAGGAGGAGGAGCACCAGAGTCAAGCCAAGATGCATCAACGATGCTGCAATTCCCCCTTCCCGTCCCAAGTCCCCTCCTCCTAAGTCCCTACAAGTATTCCTCTCCACTTTGGGAATCGCCCCCTTCGGCAGACGAACGCCCTGTGGTCCTGAGATTCGGGCGAGACACCGTTTCGGAGAGGATCGACCTTCTATCCCACTATCTGTATGACGTGCAAAGATGTAGAGTCCTGAAGCTCGAGAAAGTGTCCAGCGAGAACTCCGTTCTGAGAAGGATCCGCCCTCCATCCGTGAAAGCGTTGCGCTGATGAATGTTCTTGTCGTAAGACTGGAGGAAGTCCCGAGCGAGGGCCGCATTGGGAAAAAAGCCGCAGAGGCTCGAACACTGCTGACTTCTCTCCCCCCGACACTTGAAGAGGGCAAAACTCTGTATTCCCCGAGACTGCAAGGATTGCAGAGAACCGCTCAGGGAGCCGACGCTGGGACACATGCCGCCCAGATGGCGAGCGATGCCGAGCAGCAGCTTGTGGGAGCCGCAGGAGAGGGAGACGAGGGGTTGAACCCCCTGCAAGCAGCTTGACGAGGCGGAGGAGGATGAGGAGGAGTAGATGCAGGAGGATGGAGGGCACAATTAGGAGAAGGGGGGAGGGGGGGGGCGGCGGTGATGGGGCTGGAGACGGACTCTGGGATTCTGGGACATCTGCGCCCGAGCCGCGTGGCCCTCGGTCGAGCGGTCCGCTAAAAGACCTCGCGCCCCGCCGCTTGCAGCCAGCAGCTCCTATCCTCCTATCCGCCGTGCGCAAAGCGATGCTGTGCGAAGAGGACGACGAGCGGGGCAGGAGTTTTAAGAAACATGGTAAATATTGGCTTGGCGAAGGACCCAACCATATGCAGCTGCGAGCATCACGAGGCAGGTGAAATGGAGGAGGGGGGTCAACACCAATATTGAGGCGTTAATAGGAAAGGGCAGCGGGTACGGGCTTGCGGGGGGATTTGTTAGTTTGGCCCGAACCCCGAGCGCGGCCGTTGTCGTGTCCATTTCCTTCCCAGCTCTTGCGCCCCTCCATGTTTTCGTTGTGCGTTGCGTTCCTGCCTGCCTGGCGCCACGACGCGTGCGAGGGTTTTGCCGGATTCGGGTGCGGGTACGCCATGCGGAGCCTGCCGCTGGTGCCTTCGGTGGAGCTCCCTACGGGGCCACGAAGCGTGTGAAGGGTGTACCGAATCGGATGCGGGGACGCCGTGCGGACCCTTCCGCTATGGCCTTCGGTGGAGCCCCATATGGGGCTACGAAGCGTGTGACGGGTGGTGTGCCGGATTGGCGCGGGTATGCCATGCGGTCCCTGACGCGGGGGCCTTCGGTGCAGCCCTCTCTATGGGGCCACGAAACGTGTGCTGGGGTTTGCCGACACGGGCGCGAGTACGCCATGTGGACCCTGCCGCTGGGGGCGGAGCTCCTTGTGGAGCCTCGAAGCATGTTACGGGTGTGCCGGATTTGGTGCGGGTACGCCACGCGGACCCTGCCTCTGGGGCCTTCGGTGCAGCTCCGCATGGGGCCACGAAGCGTGTGAGGGGTGTGCCGAAACAGACAGGCGGAGGGCATAGGCAGGGATGGGAGGAGGGAGTGCGAGGAGGAGGCGGCAGGAGGAGGCAGGACGCGGTGCGCCTTCTCTTCAAGGCGAGGACCCCACGCCACAGGCTGAGCGGGAATGAGATCACAAGAGAAGACTCGGCCTCGCGTGTGGTCTCTCAGTCTGACCTGAGTGCCGAGCGGCTCGCTCGACGAACTATCAGACACCTGCCACAATCGTGACCGGTTTTCACGCACCGTGGGCGGCGCGGGAGAAGCAGGAGGAGGAGGCCCGGGAGCGGGAGCCCCGGGCCGCGTCGGAGCAGGAGCCGGCTCGGCCCGAGCAGCGCGGGGGGCCCGCGGCCCTGCCATGGTTGGCGGCCAGGCGCAGGCCGGCGCCGCGGTCGCTGGGGGGTGGCCATCGGGGGCCCCATGGCCAAATCACCGGCGATGCATCGCCGATGCGGGCTCGATGTGCACCCCATCCGAGCCAGTCGCCCCCCGGCGTGCCCCCGTGACCTCCAGGCCGCCCAGGAGGGGGCCGGTGTGCGGCAGGTTCGCGACGCAGCGACGCGGCTGCGGCCCCAGCGCGGGCGTGCCAGGTGGAACGCCGCCGGTGGCCCAGAATCGGCCACTTTGGAACGATCTGGCGATCAAAAAGCCGCCGATCGTTCAAGGTTGAACGATCCACGACACGAATCTTCCGTACGTTTCCCCGACATCTGAGAAGGGAGACGGGAGGTGTTCCAACGTTTTGTCATTGTTTTTTGTCCCAGGTTTTGAAGTTATTTTCTGTCCTCGAGGGGCCTTCAGAGGCTCCCAGGGACCCGCAGGGTCAGGTTCCGGCCCCGCTTCAAGACTTACCAGCTTCTGTTTCGGTGGCCCGCAGACTGGCTTCTCGCCCTCGTTTCCATGGCCTTCGGGGGCACCCCTCAGCGCCACGGGTGGGCGCGGCTTGAGACACTGGCCAGGCTGGACCCCGACGGTCTCGTGGGCTCGTTCTGAGCGTATTTCTGGCCTGGCACGGGTCGAAGCGGGAGGCCTTCTCTAAGGGTCAGACGCCACCGTCGTGTTCACCAAGAAAGAATGGTGAAGGATGCGGGTTCCGGTTCGGGTTCGGGTTCTGCTCTCAATGCAATGCGATACAACACCATAGGAATTCACTTCAATAGGAATTCAGTACGAATGCAATAAGACTGTCTGAGGAAGACAATGGGAATACAACATGAACACAGTTCTGTAGGAACACAATACGAATACAACACAATAGAAATGGCAGGAATGTTGTACGATAGCAGTAGGAATACACTAGGAATACAATACAATAGTAATGGCATAGGAATTCAATAGGATGGCAATAGGAATACATTTGGAATTCAGTACAATCGGCCACACTAGGAACCTAATAGCAACATAATTGGAAGACAAAAGGAACACACTATGAATGCACTTTAATATTAATACAATGGGTATGCAGGAGGATTCCATCAGGAGTACAATACAACAGGAACACAATCGGAAGATACAGTATCAATGCAAACATTACACTGGGTATGCAATACAACAGGAATACCACAGGAGGACAATGAGAATTCAGTTGAAATTCAATATCTACGAGGGTGACGTGTGGACCGACCCTGCTTGATTAATTTCCTAATGCGGCCGCCGTACAGGCGGTATGCAAGAACAGTACACAAAGGTGACGTGCGATTTTGCGTCGACACGAACGTAATTCTGTCTGCAACGAACCAGGTTGAGACGTAATTCTGACGTGCTGGTTGGCCATGTCCAGGTCGGAAGCCAGTCGCTGCGCTTCGAGTCGCAGCGTAAGAAGGTTCTCTGCCTGGACAACCTCCAAGCGCCATGACAACTGCACTGTCACACCAAAATCTTGTCAGGCCCGAGGGCCCAGTGTTGCGGCCGATGGACCACTTCGAAAGCGGTGCTCCCGTTCGACGTTCATGCACGACTCGTGCGAGATGTCACCAGAACGCGTGATTTACTGACTTCAGAAAATCAAATGCCCGCGCTTTGAAAAAATCCGATTGGTTCGCTGAGGATTCTTGGGATGCCTGAAGATTCCCGAGGAGACCCGAAAAAGCATGAAGACCCCCGAGGAATCTCGAGGATTCCTGATGATTTCCAACGGCTCCCGAAAAAATCCTTGGGAATCCAGACTCCAGACGGTGCTTGAGCATTACCGACGAATCCAAGAAAGATCCCTAAAGAGTCCTGAGGATTCCAGAGGCGCCCCTAAGATTCCTGATGATTCTTCCGGTTCCCCGAGGATTTCTGAGAATTCGCAAAGATCCTCGAGGATCCCGATGTATTTCGGATGATCCCTGAGGCTCCCCGCGGACCCCCGAGGGTTCCCAGTGATTCTTGCAGGTCCCCGTTGATCCCCCAGAATTCTTGAGGACGAGCAAAGACTCCCGAGGAATCTCGACGAATGATTTCCCTGGGATTCCTGAAGATGCACCCGAGACTTCCAGAATGATTCATGCAGATTCCCCATGGCTCCCGAGGATTCTTGAAGATCCCGAGAGGCTCCCAAGGTTTTCCGTACGATTCTGGAAGATGCCCATGGGTTCCCAAGTTCCACAAGATTTCCGAATGTTCCCGAAGTTTCCTGACGGAGAGGTTACCTGAAGATCCCAAGCGATCCTGTAGGCTTCTTGCAGATTCTTCAACATTCCAACAAAAAGGACCTTGGGGATGCGTAAAGGTCACCTGGATCATGTCAAAGGATTCTCATGAAAGCCCCCGGATTCCGCAGGATTCCATCGAATCCTAAAGATTTCTATCGGTTCCTTGGGATTCCTTCGGGTTCTTGGGGATCCCCGAGGGGTCCCGAGGATTCCTGGGGATCCTTGAGGGTTCCCGAAGAATCTTGCGGAGTCCAGTGGGATCCTGAGGATTCCAATCGATTCTTGGCGATTCCTGCGGATTTTGATTCCTGAGAACTTTCTTTTTGATATTGTCGGTTCCTTAAGATTTATATGAGCCCTCCAAGAGCAATTACTGAGGAATCCCGAGGGACCCCGAGGATTCCAGAGTCCTACAGATCCCAGAGGGCGCCCGCGGACCCCAGAGGATTCATAAGGATTCCTGAGGGTTTTCGATACATGTTACAGGGCTCCGAGAGATCCCCGAAGTATCCCGAGGAGTTTTGAAGATGCACGAGGGCCCCCGATGAGTCTTCTAGATCTTAGCATAATCCAAAGGATCCCTGCGAATCCTGAAGATGCCCGAGGGAACCTGAGGATGTCAAAGGATTCAGGACCCTGGGGGATTCCAGTGGCTTCCTGCAAATTCACAAGGATCCTTTTTCTGGGATTCCTGATACTTCCAAAGGATTCGTATGGATGCTCCAGAATACATGAGACTTCCTGCAGATTCTTGGGGGAGCCGTAAGAGCGTCGGCCAGAATCTAGGTTTTCTCTTTGAAGAGCGGGAGGGGTTACCGAAGGAATTTTTTGAACATCTTTCGGCAACGCGCCAATAGTTTGCGACGACGCGAGAGTGACGTGTGAATTTGTTTCAGTTCTCTAAGAAGTTCCAATGCTGGCGCTTCACAGTGCACAGTTCACGAAGGCTGCTGTTGGCGCGACACGAAGGCGATGGCTGCCCGTCTTTGTAGAGGCCTTCTGAGGACCCTCCGAGCTCTTCCAGGAAGCACGCTGCCCTTTCGGAAGGCGCTCGTTCACCCTCCGTTTTCGCTCCGGGAGCTTCTGAGTTTCCTTCTAGCGCGATGCCTCCGTCCGCCCCCCTGGTTCCCGCCCAATGTCATTCAGACTCAGATATAATCCAGTCGGACACACTCATATCCCAGACCCGCTCATACGCTTACCCGCCCGTACTCATACCCACTCATCCGGATACTCGCGCATACCTAGGCCCACCCACACTCACACTCGCTCATATTCAGACTTCCCCAAACCCAATTCTCAGGCTCACTCGTACTTGGACTCGTTTATTTACTTGTTCGTTGCGTCCCGCCCCATGGACATCCTGGGACGTAGCAGACATGCCGCTTGGTCTTCCCCAGAGGGATTCGCCAGGAGGTCATAACATCGCCCGTTCGCGCCTGGATTGTCATTGGATTACCGGCAGAATTGAATCGGCCAGGGGTCGAACACGGACCGCCCGCACCCAGTGCCCTGACAGTCGGAACTTTCCAGGCAGAATGGCAACATGTTGGAGGGTTGGCGCCTCTCTTTGCACACCTTCCTGATCACCGCGGCGTCGCATGCACTGATTCTGGGCCTCTCGAGGGGGGTTTGTGAGGGGGCAAGGCAGGGGTCCGTCCGCGCCGAGAGGGTCGGGACATCTCCAGCAGACTGTCAGCCTTCAGGGGGGGGGGGGTCGGCGCGTCTCTTCTCTTAGCTCCTTGCTCATCGCCTTTTGTCGCAAGCGTGGCGCTTGTGCCTCCCAAAGAAGACGACTCATCAGGGGCTGTGGCGCGAGCCTGGTCGGCACCTATCAGGCCGAAGGGCAGTTGCTTGGGTAGGCGCGTCCCTTCTCACAACCCCGTGATCATCTCGATGTAGCGTGCATTGCGCTCGGGCCCCGCCGTATCTGCCTCGCGAGGCCTCTGGTCAGCCATGTGTCGGTCCGCTCGTCCCGCGGCGGTGATCACCGCTCTCGCCCCCCCCATCACGGAGACTCGCCCGCCACTTGGCCGCCGAGCAGTGGCTGTCGGCCGTCCCTTCCTCGCCGCCCCCCCCCTCGCCCTCCCTCCCTCCCCCCTCCCTCCCTCCCCCCCCCCCCCTCGCCGTCCCCCCCCTCCCCCCTCCCTCCCTCCTCCCCCCCCTCCCTCCCTCCCTCCCTCCCTCCCCCCCCCCCCCCCCCGCCGCCCCCTCCCCCTCGCCGCCCCCTCCCTCCCAGGGGCCGGCCACTGTCCCCCCGGGCTCCCCGGCTCCCCTTCCCCTCCCCTCCTCCCCCCCTCCCCGCCTCTATGGTCCCCGCCGAGGTCGGGGCGCCCTCATGGGGGACGACCCGGACAGCGCGGGGCCCCTCGCCCGCCGCCGCGCGCCCTTTCGCTCGCTCCCTGCGGGGCTTCCCCGGCCTCGGGGGGGGCCTTTTTTTCCGGGGAGGGAGGTGCAGGGAGGAGGGGGAGGTTTCAGGAGGCACGGGGGGGGGGGGAGGGCAGGGAGGGGGCAGGGAGCGAGGAGGAGCGAGAGGAGCCTGAGGTGGACGAGGACGAAGACGAGGAGGAGGAGGAGGAGGAGGAGGAGGAGGAGGAGAGGAGAGGAGGAGGAGGAGGAGGAGGAGGATCGAGGAGGAGGAGGAGAGGAGGAGGAGGAGGAGGAGGAGGAGGAGGAGGAGGAGGAGGAGGAGGATATACATACTGGATCATACCTCTTGGACGTGTTGGGGCATGTTCCCGGTGTTTTTCCGGCTCTGCTCGTCGGTCTGTGGTCATCGGCCTCCCTGCGCCTCCATCCCCCCTCTCGCTTCAAGGGGGGGGGCGCAAAAACCGCTGCCGCGTGCAGCTGGTCTCGGCCCCGCCGCTGGGCGCACTCTTCGATACCTGGCCGCCTCTGGCGCCAGGAGGCGCCGAGAAAGCCAGCTGCACGAGCTGATTCGCTGCCCCCTCCCTGGTGCCCCCCCCCCCTCTCCCCTTTCAGGCGGGGAAAAAACACGCAGACCCAAGTAATCGTCTATTCCCAGGAAAATATGGGAAAATATGGGAAGTGGGGGGGGGGGGAAGACGAAAACCCAGAAAATATAAGAGAATATGGGGAATCCTTTTATTTGAGTGTGTTTATTTGTGTGTCCCAGGGCCCCTTCACCCTTCCCCCCCCCCACCACCGCCCGTGCCGTCTCGAGGGCCTGGCTGGGCGCCAGGGCGCGGCTTGGCGCGCGCGCGCGCGCCGCCGCGCGGCGGCCCGCCACCCCGTCGCGGGCGGGCGCGGGGGTCGAATGGGCCATGGAGGCGGGGCGACGGTGGGCGCGGTGGCGTTCGCGGCCATCGGCGGCGTGCTCTTCGGCGCGCCAAGGGCGGGAAGACCGGGGGGCGGCCAGGGGGGGGGAGGTGATGAGCGGGGGATGCTGTCGTGGCCTGGGCCGGGAGATCTGCCCGGATTGCATGGCCCGCTCCTCTTGCTTCACCGCGTCCCTTGTCCCCCCTCCCCCGCGGGCCGCGCACGTGCCTCGGGCCCTGACTTTTGCGACCCCCCCTCTTGGGCACCCCCCTTTGGGACGCCCTTGAGAAGATCAAGGCTGGAGGATCGAGGCTCGTGTTTTTGTTGGACGTCTCTGGCGCTTTTTTTTCAGGGATCGAGGCTCGTGCTTTTGTTGGACGTCTCTGGGTTTTTGTTTGGGTGGGGGGGCTGGCTCCTTGTCGCCACAGCCTTGGCCAGAACGCACCACTGGAATGTCTGGGGGCTGATTTGTTTGATCCCCGAGCTAGGGGGAGCCCAAGACACATTGTCCAGCGATCTCGTACCAGTCTGAAGCTGCCACTTCGGTCGATACATCTTCCAGACCTGCCAGCTATCAGATATCCCCCATGTATCCCAAACCGACTTAATCTTGATCTTGGCTTCGCTTCAAGGGCGGGAAGGCGCAAGCTGTACAGCTACACCGCTAATGGTCAGGCGTATTCTGGGTCAGGGGTCGGTGTATACTCCGTCCTGCCTTGGCCAGACATGCGTATACACCGATCCTTGGCCCAGGATCGGCCTGGCCAGGATCGTTGTAGGTGTGCAGTTGCCAGGGTTCTGGGGACAGGGGAAGGAGGAGGGAGGAAGCGCGTTGGGAGACCCAGCACGGGCTCAGAACGTTGGAAAACTTGGGCCCCCGATGGGCCAAAAGGGGCGGGTGGAAGGCTGCATGGGGCGCGTGGGCGTTCACAGACGGGAGTACGGGCTTCCGGTGCGTGCGGGCGGGTCCTCACGGGCGGCGACGGGCCCTACGCAGGATGGGCGGCGAGCCAGGCTGGCAGGATAGACGAGCGCCGGGGGGGGGCGGGCGAGCCCTCACGGGCGGGCGGGCCGGATATTGCCGCAAGCAGATGGGCGGGGCCACCAGTCAGAGCTGGGCGGGTACCAGGGGCGCGGTACCAAAGAAGCGCTTCCGGTCGCATCGGGTCCAACGGAAGCGTGCGGGCCGCAAGGCATCAAGCCGAACCGACTTGACTTGAACGGAAGCGTCACCGAAGCAGACACGTCCGAATGGTATGCAATCTAGCGAAGGGAGACGTGGGCGAAGCAAGACGCGGGCGAAGCAAGTCTCGGTCAAAGCGAGACGCGAACGGCGAGCGTTATCCCACTTCCAGTCTACCTTCTATTTTGCAGTTCTCCTTCTCCCAGTCCTCATTCCCGTGTTCCTCCCTCGTCCTCGTCCACCTCTCTGAGGAAAACCTTCTGCTCACGGTTGTCATCTCTGCTCCTTTCCACCCTCTGTAGCAATTGAGGCTCAATCCTTTCGGCTTATGTATGGGGTTCTAGGAAGGGGCCTGCCTTCCAAGGGTGGGGAAGTTGTCTCCTCTCCCTGGGCGGAAGGCGGCGGAAGGCCGACAGCAGACGGCGGAAGTAGATTCGACAGTGGCTCCGCCGGCGGAAGGCCGACAGCAGAGAGCATCCGCCCTCGGCGACAATTCCTGGTCGGGGGGTTCGGGCTCTCCGCAACGGGCCCCCTGCAACCGACACAGCACACCGTGCGGGCTTCCCGGCGGCCGAGACGGCTGCGGCACCGTGCACGCTCGCGGCCGCGGCCGCCCACTCGGACCCTCTCGGGGCCTCTTCCCCTGCCTCTCTAGTCGCCGAGCGCGTTCCACCACTCGCAAAGTGCCTACTCGCAAACGTCCGACAAAAACACCTGTCTGCTCTGACGTAGTGGTGCTTCGGCGGCGCGGCGCGGCGTGGAGCTCCGCGCCCAGCGCCCGGCGGAGCCTGGGTTTGAGTCGGGCCTGTCCCTCTACAGGAGGGAAATCCAAAAATAGTGCAAACATAGTCGGGAGATCATGTTTTACCATTTTTGAATATCTGTGGTGGGTTTTTCTGGTATTTCTGAATTTTTCGACCAAGGTCCCCCTGTCGGGGGACGTGCCCGACTGAAGCCTGGGTCTGAGAAGGCGGCTCGCACGCCCGCTCGTTGCGGCTGGCCTCCTTGCTGGACAGCCCCAGGCCGCGCGACTCCTCCCGCTCGGAGGCCCCCGAGCCCCCACGGCGGCAGGCCGAGCCGCTGCGGCGACGGCGGGAGCAGCGGCTTCGCGCCAGCGTTGGGGAACCTGCGCATCCAGTGCAGTTTCACCTCGGCGTCCATGGCCGTAGAGGTACTGAGTCGGTTCGTGGAGGAGCCCGCCTGGAGCCAGGAGGCGACCCTGCTGGTCGTGTTCCTGGGCGCCATGGTCTCTTGGTGACTATGGGCCGGCCGGGTGACGTGATGGGCTCTGCACGGGCGATGCGGATGACGCTGCTGTTCCCTGTGCTCGGCTCCCTGGTTCCAGCGATGGCTTTCAGATCGCCAGACGGCAGGTACTTTATCGTGTGTCTGGGTCGGCTGCTGCTGGGCGTCGGCGTGGGCGGCATCTACATCTACCTGCTCTCCGCCGCCTCTTTCACTCACGGCAGCGGCAACGGCGCGGCGGTGGTGCTGCTCAAGCGGCTGCCAGCCAGAGAGGCGTGGGCGCCAACGCTTTAATTCCGTCTGCTGTTCGCGTTCGGGTCGGTTCTTTTATGCATAGCATGGATAACTTCCTTGCGCCCCGAGGAGGCACGACTGTCCGCACGCTCGCTGGCACTATGTTTGCTTGGTTTCTTTAATCATGACGTGCGCTGCTGCGGCACCCTTGTCTTCACACCGAAGGTATTGGAACCACTCTGCCTAAGTGGAGACAGAGGTTTGGGGACGTGTCAGCAGTCGCTGTAGCAGACCTCGATGGAGTCGATTATTGTAGCTCTGATGGGGCGTCCAGGGACCCTGCTGGCTGTTCATCAATTGAGTACCATTCGGTCGAAGAGTTTGAACGTGTGGGGCAATCTGCTGAATGCATCCTCCAGATTCTCCTGATCTGGGGGCCTACCTCGGCGTGTACGTCCTCCAGGCGGTCTGTCCCGGCCTCTCCGCTATGGGCAGCAAATTCAAAGTACTTGTCACGGCCTCTCCGCTATGGGCAGCAAGTCTCGGGCATTCTCGGGCGCGCTGCTCTTCCAGCCCATCCGGCGCTCAGCCCCGGGCGTCCCTGGCGTGCTCTTCGTTCAGGCCGCGGCCGCCCTTCTGTGTGCCGCCCTGTCGCAGGCCCTGCCGAAGCACGACTGGGAGCACGCCGACGACGCCGCCCCCAGGAGAATTGCTGGGTGAGCCCAAGGCCTGCTGCCCCGGCCCGTCTGGCGCCCAGCCTCACGTCGGGCCTATCCCTCTACAGGAGGGATGTTCAAAAATAGTAAAACAAAATGTGGACTATTTTTTTTGACTATGTTCGAGCGTTTGGGGGTATGTTTGGAGTATTCTTTATTTTTCGCATCAAATCCCCCTGTAGGGGGACACGCCCGACTTAAGCCCAGCTCCTGGGCCTTCCCTGGCGCGCCCTGCGTCCAGGCCGCCGCCGCCCTGCCTTGACGCCGCGCTGTCGCGGGCCCCGCGGCCTGAGAGTGGGGCAGTCACGTCAGCGTTGTGGAAGTCGATTAATGGAGAGGAAGCGTGCTGCCAAACAATTTCCAGATGCCTATAATATGTTTCAACTATATTTTTGTTATGTTTAAAACATGCATGACACATAAGTGGAACATGTTTTACACAGTTTAAGCACATTTCTCATTCAATGATCAGATTGTTAGAGTGTCCATTGTCATGGCATCCACAACGTTAGCGGCGCGTGCGCCCTGGAAGCCTGCTGGGTAAGCGCCCACGGGGCTCTCGGCCCTGGCGCCGGCGCCGCGCTGGGCAGCAGGCCTAGCCGCAATCCCACGTTTCGTCTCGGAGGTATTCCAGAGTGGAACTCAAGCAGCGAATCGGTTCAATGGATCTGGGGCAACGCAGCGCGCAGAAGAGCAAAGTGAACACATGCAAGCGTTGATGGGCAATCCATGGTAATATTCTTAAGTGCGACGCAGTGCAAAGCATGGCAAAGCAGTCTTTCGCAACCGATAGCCACCGAAAGACTCCCGCGGGCACAATGGATTGATTCTGTGGACGGGACTTGTGGCTCAACGCATACGTCCTACGTCTCGGGCGCCCAGCCTGGCACCCAAAGGTCCCCACGGGCACATACAACTGATTCTACGGGCGAGGACCATGGCGGAACCCATGGGGCTCAACTGGATGGCACCCCGAAGTCCCAGCGGTCGCAAGGAACTCTACGAGTGGATTTCCCGGCGCAACCCAGAGAGCGCAACTTATGGTACCTGTGAATCCCCGCGGGCCCATACGCAGTTCCTTACGGCCCAAGTAAGACCTCCTAGGGGTCAGCACTGCCTGGGGAACCAAAAGCTACACGGGCAGCTTTTCGAAGCTCCCGCCTCCAAACACCTGCGCACCAGCACACCCAGTTCCCATGTCTATGATAACCCCTCAGTGCAAGCCATGCCTGGAGAACCAGCTCATGCTGGATGTGACGTCTTCTCACCGTGCCGACCTCGACCTTGGAGTGAGGGGGAAGTTCGGCGTGCAAGGCAGCGTGGTCAGACCTCGCTCGTGGCCTCTTGCTGGAGTCGGTTAGCGTCGGAGCGACGCGCTCGACATTCGGCCAGAAGGCTGGCAGACGCTTCTGCAATTCCGATTCGTTTCCTATTGTTCTCATTTTCACGGGCGCGCACTCGAGCACAGAAGTGGTATGATAGCCGCTTCTGAGCGCCAACTACTCACGTATGCCATGGTCGAGTACATATGGGGGGGGCGCTTCAGGGCCATCATATTATCAGACCAGCCTGATTTCAAGCTAGGGCTATCAAGAATGACTCCTACACACGGGGTACGGTGTATATTCGTTCCTAGCCACGACATGAGAACGCCTACACCGATCCTGGACCCAAGTGGACGATGGGGGCTGGCCAGGATCAATGTAGATGTATAGCCGATGCTTTCCGACCATCCTTTCAATTGGTCACAATCAAGATCTCACTTGAGCCTCTCGAGGAGGAGTAGGAGGAGGAGGAGGAGGAGGAGGAGGAGGAGGAACAGGAACCGATGGAACATGAGAGTGGATGGATGCGAGAGAGGAGAGATGATGGAGGAAGGAACAGGAGTGTAAGCAAAAGGAGGAGGGGGAGGATGACAAGGATGACGAGTACATAGAGGGGATGTGGAGATGGAGGGGGCGATGAGGAGAGCTACGGGATCAGGAGGAATGATGAGGAGGCGATGGAGGAGGGCGCATTCTGAGGTGGACGAGGGGACGGGGAAGGAGGGAAAGCTGGGCAGGAGAGGGGAGGGAAGAGGCAGGAGGAAAGATGGCCAGGGAGAGATGGGGGGGGGGGAGGCAGGAGCAGCAGCAGGAGCAGCGGCCGCACCCTGGCCCCTCCCGCCGCGGAGGCCTGGACCAGGGGAACTGGGGCGGCGCCATCGTGAACGACGGCTTCGTCGACGCCTTCTGCGACGGCGGGCGGGCCGAGTGCCACGACGCCGCCAGGCCCGCCGGAGATCCGGTGGCGCTCAAGAGCTCATCGCACTCCCCATCCAAGTCATCACGTTCGCCACCCAAATCAGCAAATCATCACGTTCAACAAATCATCCTGTCCGGCTTCAAGGAGAGGTCCGCCCACCAGCCCTGCATACCGAGGCCGCCAGTCTCCAGCAGCCCTGGATGTCCCGAGCACCCCGCCTTGCCTACCAGCCCTGCGTGTCGCGTCCGACAGTCTCCAGCAGTTCCGAACAAGGAAGCGATGTAAGTATCGCGCGACTAGCATGTCATGGCAGGGGCAACGGCATCACGTCACTAGAACATATGCCAACACGATACGCCAGAAACCTACACCAATAGCGCACACCATTAACATTCATCAGACACATGCAGTCAGGACGTATTCGAGTCACACTCAAGCATCTGTGGCACCAGCAGCAAACATCAACCACATGTACCACATCACACACAGCAGTACCACTTCTTGCTTCGGCAAGCCAATGCCATTGATAACTATTACGCTCACTTTTGCACAAGCATTAGGAGCATGCGCCCGTACCGCACATCAAGACTCCCCATAAACCACACACGCCAACACATACACCAATAACGCGTACACGTGACATGCAGCAGCCCACACATTGAGAACGTTGGTCAAGGGCATACGTACGGGCACGGAACACAACTCCAATACACATACATATGATGCCATGTCGACATAACGTGGGCAACATTGCGCAAGCATCAGACAAGGATGTGTTTCATACCCGTACAATCAACGAACACACAACACACATGACACATTCAGACACACCTTCGTTGTTTTACGATTTTGGCTTCGGGTGGCCGTCTCGAGGACCCGTGGCCATCAGAAACAGATCCAGGATGACGAACTGCCCCCTGGGGGGGGGGGTCGAGACCGTGGGGGCCCGCGAGTTCAAAAAACACATTTTTCGTTTGTGGCGAGCGGAGCAAGTTACGGCGCTTTTGAGAGAGCATGGTTGATATTTCTTTTTTGGCGGAAGTTGGCCGAACGCCGACGGCAGCAAAGCGTGGGCGGTTCAGCCAGCGGAAGGTCGGCGGAACTTGGCTGAATCGATTGTCGCTGGCGATTTTTCTCCGATCCCCGAGTTCCTTCCGAACTCCTGGGCCGCTCAGAAACGGGGGGGAACTATTCGAACGCACCACTATCGAGGATGGACGCCCCCCCCCTCGTATATCCCAGGGTGGGGCCCAAAGTTTATGGTCCAGTCGAACCCCCACAAGTCGGGGATTGGAGTCGCCATATCCCCGAGTAAATTCATGTGCCTGCCAGAGGTGTGAGCATGTGTAGAATAACAACCTTGAGCAAACAGTGCCGTGAAACATCACCTGTGGACAAAACAGAACATATTTCTGCGGGATCTCTAGAGCTAGATCGATCCGTGGCGGTGCCGGGTCCCGAGCGCCGGTCGTTGCTCGGTCAGCGCTTGCATTGGAGGGGTCCTCGCGGAGGGTGCAAGTATCCGGTGAAGTTTGCCGCCGATTGCTGTAGGCGGCCAGGGTTCAGGTTTTCCAGCTCCCGGGTTCCGGGTCCGAGCTTCATGGGATCTTTGGTTCTTGGTTTCGGCCAGAGGGTAAAGCATATACTAGCAGAGCGTTTGGAACAGAGTCGCTAGATCAGAGAGCAGCGAGCAGGGAGTAGAGAGCACAGTCGAAAGGCGAGAGTACAGGGTACAGAGTAGACGGTGGAGAACATATATCACATGTCGAAGTGGGGGGTCGAGTAGAGATCTGCCCTTCGATGCTTCCTGCGAGCATCATTTTGGGGTTCTCTCATCCGAGGCGGTGATTTATTCATGATCACGGAGGGGGACCCAGTATGTCGCTATCCGCCGCCTCCCGAAGTCCCCCGAGATCTATCCCCCATGCTTTGGCGATCGATAAATCACCGCTTCGCATCTCCTGCGTGCTGAGATGTTGCACGACCCTCAGATCTGCTCCGCAGAAGGCATGCGCGTGTACATTACCACGTCGCCTGTCCAGGGCCGTCCTGGGCTCTACAGGACGGTGTGCAGCTCCTGGGTTCGGCCAGGGGAGCGCATACGCCATGCCAAGGCCCAGGATGGCCCTTGCCAGGCGCAGTGGTGGTGTCTGGATGCCGTCTGCGGATCTGAGGCTCCCGGCCGCCTACGCCCAGTTCCTGTCGCTGGGATCCTCGCTGCTGCAGCTTGGGGCCGCATTCGGTGCGCTGGCCGTGGGGCCGCCCGTTGCGGAGCGCCAGGGGCGACGCGAGGCTGCGACGACGGCGACGGCGGCGACACGGCGGGCGACGGCAACGGCAGCGGCGTCGGCGGCGGCGTCGGCGGCGGCGGCGGCGTCGCGTCGGCCGCCTCGAGTCGAGACGACGTCGACGTCGACCGGACCCGGGCGGCGCGAGGCGATGTTCCTCGGCTCGCTGGTGACGATCGCGGGCGCCGTGCCCCAGGCGTTCCTGACGGACATCCCGGCATTTCTCTGCGCCCGCGTAGTCGCGGGGCTGGGTGTCGGCATCGTGACGTACGCGCTGCCGATGTTCGTCTCGGAGGTCGCCCCCGCGGAGCTGCGGGGCGCCCTGGGGTGCTCGATGCAGCTGACGATGGTGCTGGGCACCGTGGTCGCCTCGGTGCTGAACTGCCAGCCCTGGTTCGACTATCGGCTGTCGTTCGCGCTGCCAGCATTCCCCGCGGCGGTGGTCGCCGCCGGCATTTTCTTCTTCCCGCCCTCGCCGCGCTTCACGCTCATGCAGGGCCACCGCCTGGGCCTGCCGGACGAAGGCCACGACCGCGCCTGGAAGTCTTTGCGTTGGCTGCGAGGCTCCGATGAGGCAGCCAGCGATGAGCTGACCCTGCTGATAGAGGCGCTGGACAGCCGCGGCGAGGCGTCGTCCTGGTCCGACCTCTGTCGGAGCAGGTCCATCCGGCGCAGGGTGGTGGTGGCCAACATGCTGCAGTGGCTGCAGCAGCTCACTGGCGTCAACGCCATCCTGAGCTACGGCCCCGCCATCTTCGGCAGCGCCGGTGTCCCACTCTCGGGCACGCAGTGCGCCGTCCTCACCAACCTGTTCAACCTCGCGGGCACCCTGGGGATGATGTTGGTGATCGACCGCTGGGGGCGCCGGCTGCTGCTCCTGCTGGGTGCGGCGTGCATGGCGCTGTGCATGGGGTCGGCGGCGCTGCTGGCCCACGCCCTGCACCACGAGGCGCAGGCGCAGGCGCAGGTGCCGCTGGGCTGGGGCCTGCTTGCCTGCGTCTGCCTGTACATGGCCTCCTTCGCCATCGCCTGGGGCGGCGTGCCGTGGGTGTACCCCAGCGAGATCTTCCCCATGGCGGTGAAGGAGAAGGCGCTCTCGACCTCGGTGTTCTCGCAGTGGTCCGCAAACTTTCTCGTCGCCTACGTCGTCCCGCTGCAGGTCAAGAGCTTCAGCGTCGCGGGCACCTTTGCCTTCTACACGGCGTGCCTCGTCGCCTGCCTCGGGCTCGTTTATTGCGCCGTGCCCGAGACCAGGGGGTTGGAGCTGGAGGAGCTGGAACCAACGGTCCGGGCCCGCCCCTGGGCCAGGGCAGCCTGCCGAGGTCCCCCCAGCGCCCACCGACGCCTCCCTGCGTTCCCCGATGCCGCCGCGAGGGCGTTCCGAGGCGCCGGGAGCCTCCGGTCGTCCTGAGGGCTGCCGATCCGAGGCCTCCGAGGCTCCCCGGAGTCCTCCGAGGCCTCCGGAGCGCTCCGGGGCCCCTCCGCGAGGCCCCCCTGGGGGCTTCTTCTGGAGCCCTCCGACTCCTCCTCCTCCTCCTCCTCCGCCTCCTCCTCCTCCTCCTCCTCCTCCTCCTCCTCCTCCTCCTCCTCCTCCTCCTCCTCCTCCTCCTCCCTCCCCATCGGGGGGGCCTCCGACGCCGGCACCACGCGGCCTCTGCCTCAGGAGATGGGGCGCCTCTTCGGCGAGGACGGCTCCGACGGCCTGCCGGAGCTGTCGGCCCCGCTCACGCCGCCCGACTTCGGCCCAAGGCTGGGGGTGCGGCCAGGCTCCTCGGCGTTCTCGATGGAAGCAGGGCTGGACCTGCACGGTGTTTGGGCGCCTTCGTGGGCCGTTTTCGTTTCGATTTCGTTTTGCGGAAAAGGCGGATTGAAGACAACGCGAGGAGAAACGAAAGCAAAACGAAAACGAAAACACCGTTTAGGTTCAGCCCTGTCTGGAAGCCCTCGGCCGGCTCGCGACGGCGGCGGCGGCGACGGCGGCGGCAACGGCGGCGAACCACGCCGCCCGACTTCGGCCCCAGGCGGGGGCTGCGGCCGAGCACGGCGGCGTGCAGAGGGGTGTGTGGCGAGGGGGCGAGTGGAACGGGTCGAGGAGAGGTTCCTACAATGGGCACTCTTGGCCCCTCTTTGGGCCTCTGGAGGCGTCTGGTTTGGAGCAGATTTGGGCTGAGGGGTCTGGCGAGGGGCTTGCCTTCCAGGAAGGCAGGGTGGCTTCTCAGACGCCTCCCTCGCCTTCTAAGAGGCGTTCTTGGGAAGCCCCCGAGCTCTTCTCAGAAGCCCGAAGGCCGTCCACCTGGCCCTACCCCCCCTCCCATACATCCAACGCTTTCGCTGTTCTTGATTTTCATACGTTGGCTCCAGCAGTCTCGACCTATTTCCCCTGGGGGCAGCTTCCGTCCCGCACCTCATGGAGGAGCATAGGGGACTCGTGCCACCGAGAACCCATCGGGGGTGGGGCCGACCCCTGGGCGGTGGCACGCCCGAGCGTCACCCAGTACTGGACCACGCTTTGGCGTGCCACCGCTCGGGGGCAGGTCCCGCCCACGATGTGTTCTCGGTGGCGGTGGTCCACGCCTCTCCTCCGAGTGTCCATCGGCAGCACCGAGCCCGGGGGGGGAAGTGGGACGGGGCGGGCCTTCCCCGAAGGCCTGGAAGCTCTCCAGCCCTCTGCGGAGTTTTCTCGGCCTCGCCCGCAGACACAAATGGCTTCCCAGAAGGCCCGAGGGCTTCTGCGGAGCCCCGCCGCCTTCTGAGACGGCCTGCCCCTTCTCATTCCCTCCTGGGCTCGCCGCCGAATCCATTTCAGCTGGTCCCGGGCCCCGGCAATTGCCCCTGGGGGGCCAACGCCGAGGGCACAGTGCGCCGTTCCTGGCGTGCCGCCCTGCAGGCTCTTCGGCGTGCTCGCTGTCCGCCCTCGGCCAGCTGGGAAGGGGGAGGGCCCAGACGATGCCAGACATGGCCGTGCCCGGCGGCTCCGAGCTCAGGGAGCGCTTCTTGTCCGACGTGCCCAGGAGTGTCGTCGCCGACCTCGTTCTCCTCCCCCCTGCCTCCCCTCCGCCTTCCTCGTTTTTCTCCTTGTCGCCGTCCTCCGTTCTCCACGCTCCCCCCCACTCAACGCTTCGCTACCCGCTCATTCCCTGCACGTGGCTCACTCGTTGTGTCCTGTTCTAGGTTATGTGCGGGCGTTGTCGGCTTGGCATGTGCGGGCATGTGTGCTGCATCGGCCTTGCATGTGCGGTTAGGGGGCCACATGCGAACCCTACCCCTACCCCTCCAACGATTGTTGAGGGGGAGGGTGGGGTAGGGGTAGGGCTCGCATGTGGCCCCCTAGCGGTGAATATCCCTACGGGCGTGCAGTAGTTGATTTGCGTGTGCATAGGTTTGAACATGTGCATGCCATGTTCCGCGGTATGTGTATGGTCGCTGGAATCACCGTTCGGCTCTCGCCTTTGATTGTTTTTTTTTTTCGAATGTACCAGCGTATGCGGGGCATGTGTTGGGACAGAAGCTCATTGTTCCTCTTCCACCACTTCCTCCTTCTCCTGAATTCTTCTCCTCTGCCATCCTCTTGTTCCTCCTCCTCCCCCTTCTCCTGCTCCTCCTTCTCCCCGCTGCCTCCTTCTCTTCGGTCCTTTTTCTCCTCCCTCCTCTACTCTTCTCTCTGCTCCTCCCTGCTCCGCCTCCCATCCCCTCCTCCTCATCCTCCTCCTTCTCCTCCTCCTACTCCGCATTATCCTTTTTGTTTAGCCTCCTCCACCTTCTCCTTTTGCTCCTCCTCCTCCTCCCCGCTCGTGGGTCGCCATGCTGGAGAGATGCGTGTGAGGTGTTGTCGTATGTGCGACGGACTTGTCGGCTGGAGTTGTGCAAATGCTGTGCCGGCATGTGGCCAACACGTGCCCCAGCGTCTGCGGGACGAAGAAGGGGAGAGTTAGGAGGGTAGACTTAGGAGGCAGGAGAGACGCAAGGAAGTCGGAAGAAGTGAATGTCACCACCCACCAAACCACCCCAACCCGACCCGAAGGCCTCAATTTACCCTCCATTTCCAGTGTGGGGGGGTCGGGGAACATCGGAAAACACATGGAGCACATATCCCCTCCAACCCGAAATTCGGGTCTTCGGGTTGGGTTGGGGTGGTCTGGTAGGTAGTCAGAATGGGGCAGCCTTTCCACTCTTTCCAGCCCTGGCCAGTTCTTCTTCAATACTTCAAGCCTCAGACCTCGTCCCAGCTGCTTCGGGCTCGCTTCAGCCCGTGCCAGTTTTTCTAGCCCTGGCCACTGCCACTTTCGTGGAAATCATTTTGCCAGCTTCCCTGTACAGCTTATCCAAGGAGGAGACCGAGCAGCAGGATGAGGAAGTAGACAAGAGGTGGAGAAGGATTTTCGCGCACGGTACGGTTTGATTTAATGGCTGGGGATCTTGCGATCCCCTCGGTCCATGGGCTTGTATTGCATGTGCGGCCTGGTCTCGGTGGGGGGGGGGCGGGAGCCTTTCCGCTGCCCCGCGTAAGAGGTGCACAGGTAGGTGTGGTCCGACTGTGCGGCGTGTGCGGCTGTTTACGGAATGACAAGCAGAAGCGTTGAAACACAAACATAGAAAGCTAATCCGCTAAACATGAGCCTATCCTTTACTACACCTGGTGCTATTATTTGTCCCTCCTCCCTCCTTCCTCATGCTCTATCTCCTGACGAAGCGGCCAGGCCTGGTCCCGTTTGCATCCAGCTCTTTCGGCAACGCAGAGCGGGATTTCATCTCATGTCTTTCCGATGTCGCGCGCTTAGCTCCGACCCTCGATGGCTTTTGTTACCTAACAGCGAAGACTGATAGGTTTCTACAAGACTCAAAAGAGAGCAGCAGATGACTCCACAGGGGGGTCTGGGCGGGTGCCGGACAGGGTGCCGCAGAACTCATTTTAAGCCAACAGTCACACACTTCGTGCTCTTCGACTTCCCAGAACTCCATTCCCGGGCCACATTCTGAATGCCCGGAGCCAACTGTAGGCCACTTCGTGCTCTTCGATTTCCCAGAACTCCATTCCCGGGCCACATTTTGAATGCCCGGAGCCAACTGTAGGCCACTTCGTGCTCTTCGAGTTCCCAGAACTCCATTCCCGGGCCACATTTTGAATGCCCGGAGCCAACTGTAGGCCACTTCGTGCTCTTCGAGTTCCCAGAACTCCATTCCCGGGCCACATTTTGAATGCCCGGAGCCAACTGTAGGCCACTTCGTGCTCTTCGAGTTCCCAGAACTCCATTCCCGGGCCACATTTTGAATGCCCGGAGCCAACTGAGGCTGAGGCAGGCTGCTGCTGAGGCAGGCTGAGGCTGAGGCTGAGGCAGGCTGAGGCTGAGGCAGGCTGAGGCTGAGGCTGAGGTTGAGGCTGAGGCTGAGGCTGAAGCAGGCTGAGGCTGAGGCAAGGCTGAGGCAGGCTGAGGCTGAGGCTGAGGCTGATGCAGGCTGAGGCTGAGGCAGGCTGAGGCTGAGGCTGAGGCAGGCTGAGGCTGAGGCTGAGGCTAAGGTTGAGGCTGAGGCTGAGGCTGAGGCTGAGGCTGGCTGAGGCAGGCTGAGGCTGCAGGCTGAGGCTGAGGCTGAGGCAGGAGGCTGAGGCTGAGGCTGAGGCTGAGGCAGGCTGAGGCTGAGGCTGAGGCTGAGGCTGAGGCTGAGGCTGAGGCAGGCTGCAGGCTGAGGCTGAGGCTGAGGAGGCTGAGGCTGAGGCTGAGGCTGAGGCAGGCTGAGGCTGAGGCTGAGGCTGAGGCTGAGGCTGAGGCTGGCTGATGAGGCTGAGGCTGAGGCTGAGGCTGAGGCAGGCTGAGGCTGAGGCTGAGGCTGAGGCAGGCTGAGGCTGAGGCTGAGGCTGAGGCTGAGGCTGAGGCTGAGGCAGGCTGAGGCTGAGGCAGGCTGAGGCTGAGGCTGAGGCTGAGGCTGAGGCTGAGGCTGAGGCTGAGGCAGGCTGATGCTGAGGCAGGCTGAGGCTGAGGCTGAGGCTGAGGCTGAGGCTGAGGCTGAGGCTGAGGCTGAGGGCTGAGGCTGAGGCTGCAGGCTGAGGCTGAGGCAGTCTGAGGCTGAGGCCGAGGCTGAAGGCAGGCCGTGGCTGAGGCTGAGGCTGAAGCAAGCTGAGGCTGAGGCTGAGGCAGGCTGAGGCTGAGGCTGAGGCAGGCTGATACTGAGGCAAGCTGAGGCTGAGGCTGTGACTGTGACTGCCGTTGCCACTGCGACTGTCATCGCGAATGCGACTGCGACTGCGAGAACAGGAGAATTCTACAACTGGATTCTCATCTGGATCTTAAGGGGAATGTTTCCATATATGCTTCTACACATCGCTGTTCGGTTGCTTTGCCGGGATAATATTTCTTTCTCGAAGCGGGATCCCCAGAATTGTTGACCCATTTCTGGAGACCAGTTCACTATCATTTTTGTTGGGGAATTTCCCCAAGCTCGAAAAGGTCCCCCGTGGCTGAACACACGGACAAGGCATTCGTGTTTTCAAGACGTTGGAGGTCTGGGCGCGACCCTGGGAGGAGGCAGCTGACGGCCGCTCGGATCAACTCCCGGGTGGTGGTGGGCCGCGGAGGGTTCGTGCGGCTCGACAGCTACTGAGGCCCGTCGGCTGGCGCGGCCCCGGCAGGGCTCTGGAAAAGCTCGCGCCAAGGAAAGGGAACCGTCGTCGCAATCAAATAATGTTAGGTTCTGTCAGTGCTACTGCTCACGAGGACATCGGCTCCGAAGTTCCGGGTGTAGAGCCCGGAGAGTTTGAAGATTTCAGTTTGCTTGGTTTATGAGAGGTTGTTCTGGGAGTAGGTGATGAAGTATGTTGGTGGTTTGGTAGTCAATGTTGCTTGTCGTTTGGGCTGTATCCATCATAGGTGCTCCAGGAAGGCGGCGGAAGGGCGGTTGAAGCCAGCGGAAGTGTACTTGGGGCAGTTTGGTAGATGGAAGCCAGCGGAAGCAAGAGTGGCGCTTTCAAGGCGTTTTGTTTGGGATGCAGGGCTCTGTAACGAGCCATACATTACAATGATGGGCAGGTGCATCATACTATTCAAACGGACGATGTGGCACTGTTGTTGCAAACGGCCACCCCCTTCAAAAGCATAGACAAGACACGATCACATGTAAATGTGGTGTCTGTCAGACTAGAGCACGGCTGTACCCAAGACGCGGGGATCCCCAAACGGTCGACGACGCGTCACTTTACGGCGGCGCCGGAAGACAGTTACACCTCGCGACGCACCGCACATGTACGGCGCGACGCCATAGCACCAAGCGCGTTGTTGTCAACAAGCCGAGGTAATATGGTCACAGACGGGCTATTGGTATGACACCCGGAAAGCTGCCGCGTTCATGGGACTCATGTTGCATGTTTTTCACCATCGCCTCTTCGATCGGCAGCCATACGTGCTCATCTTCTGGAGGTCAAGGTTCGGGATCATCCTCTGCTCGCCCGCCCTGTTGTTACCTTTATCATCCTACCTCTCTTACCTTTCTCTTTTCCCTCTTCTTCCCCTCCTTGCTTGTGCCATAGCCCTCCCAGCTCCTTCTTGTCCTCCTTTTTCCTTTCCAGCCTTCTCTGCTTCATTCCCCTTCGACGTCGTTTTTACCTAACAGCGAAGACTGATAGGTTTCTAGTGGTGTCAAAAGAGAGCATCATGACTCCTCAGGTGGGTCGGGGCGGGACCCGGGGAGGCTGCCGCCGAAGCCGAAATCGCTTTGGACATCCTCGCAAAATCGCTCTTGGTGCTCCCAGAACTCCATTCCCGGGCCACATTTTGGATGCCCGGAGCCAACTGTAGGCCACTTCGTGCTCTTCGACTTCCCAGAACTCCATTCCCGGGCCACATTTTGGATGCCCGGAGCCAACTGTAGGCCACTTCGTGCTCTTCGATTTCCCAGAACTCCATTCCCGGGCCACATTTTGGATGCCCGGAGCCAACTGTAGGCCACTTCGTGCTCTTCAAGTTCCCAGAACTCCATTCCTGGGCATGATTTTGAATGCCCGGAGCCAACTGTAGGCCACTTCGTGTTCTTCTAGTTCCCAGAACTCCATTCCTGGGCCACATTTTGAATGCTGAGGCAGGCTGATGCTGCGGCGAGGCAGGCTGAGGCTGAGGCAGGCTGAGGCTGAGGCCGAGGCTGAAGGCAGACTGAGGCTGAGGCTGAAGCTGATGAGGCAGGCTGAGGCTGAGGCTGAGGCAGGCTGATGCTGAGGCAGGCTGAGGCTGAGGCTGAGGCTGATGCAGGCTGAGGCTGAGGCAGGCTGAGGCTGAGGCCGAGGCTGAAGGCAGACTGAGGCTGAGGCTGAAGCAGGCTGAGGCTGAGGCTGAGGCAGGCTGAGGCTGAGGCAGGCTGAGGCTGAGGCTGAGGCAGGCTGAGGCTGAGGCTGTGACTGCGACTGCCGTTGCCGCTGCGACTGTCATCGCGAATGCGACTACGACTGCGAGACCAGCAGAATTATACAACTGGATTTTCATCTGAATCTGAAGGGGAATGCTTTCAGATATGCTTCTACACATCGCTGTTAGGTTGCTTTGCCAGGATAATCTTCTTTCTCATCTTCCCTTCCCTCCCGTTCTCTTCCCCCCCTTCCCCCCCTTTTCGCCTTCCGTTTTCCTCCTCGCTCCCTCTTCCCCGCTTCTTCCTGGAGGGAGGGGATGAGACTTTGGAAGTCTACCGGATTATCTTGCACATCTCCGCCCGCCGCCCCCATGGAATGAGCGTTCTAAATCCTCCAGAAATCATGTTATGACAGTGTCCTCCTCCTCCTCCTCCTCCGCTTCTTGTTCCTCCCCATACTTGGCATTCTTTCTTTGCTCCCCATCCCTGCAAAACCTTCCGTGGCAGAACACGGACACTGCTGACCTGCGGCCAGATCCACGATCAATGTGTGAGTTCTTGCCAGAGCGAGGGGTCTCACCGGGCGGCATGAGACAATGGAGGTGGGAGGGTGGGGGGAGGGAGGAGGAGGAACAGGAGGAGGGTGGGGTCGATAATCCACCCCTTGGACCTGTCCAGGAGGGCGCTCTGGGCAGAATTTCGAGGCGCACTCAGCAGTGTCCACGCCTCATGGGGGACACCAACCGATGCCCAAAAGCCGACCTTGCCGCCCTTGCCGATCGACCGCTCGCCCTTGCCGCCACCGGCAGCTCGATCTGGATCCTCCTGCGCCCTTGCCGCTCGGCCGCTCGCAGGGCTCCCTCCCGCGCGGAGCCGGGGCCGCCAGGCCGCCACCGTAGCCGCCGCCCCCGTCGTCGTCGTAGCCGCCCTCGTCGTCGTCGTCGTCGTCGTCGTCGTCGTCGTCGTCGCCGTCGCCGTCGGCGTGGCCGCCCGCGCGGGCGGCCGGTCGAGCCCGCCAGGTCCCCGCGCGCGGAGTCGCCCGCGCCCGGCGCCGAGCCCGCCCGCTGCGCCGTCTGCAGCGGCCCCACGGTGCTCTGCTGCTCGGGCTGCGAGGCCGGCCTCCGCGTCTCTCGTGCCCCCGCCTGCCGGGTGCGGGGCCTCCCTCCCTCCCTCCCTCCCTCCCTTCTTTCCTCCCTCCCTTCTCTCCTCCTCCCTCCCTCCTTCCTCCCCCTCCCTCCCTTCTCTCCTCCCTCCCTCCTTCCCTCCCTCCCTCCCTCCCTCCCTCCCTCCCTCCCTCCCTTCTCTCCTCCCTCCCTGCGCAGCCGCGTGTCTGGCCGGCCGGCGCGCTCTGCAAATGGGGGCCGGCGCTCACCCCTCCACCCTACTTAGCATGGCACACCGCTGAACGGTGCCCAGACCAAGGGGTGGGGGGGGTGCGCCAGCCAGAAGCCATGGATCGGGCTTGCGCGGGAACGCCAGGAGAAGCGAGCCGAAGGCGTAGAATTCCGAGCCCGCCGCCAGCGCCATCCCCAAGGCCAGCCCGGCCAGTCCGGGAGGGGGGCAGGCCCTAACCAGAATTCGGACCCTCCAGTTCTGGTGAGCGCCGCGCACCGCGCCAACCGTCTGCCTCTTCCTGCCCGGCGCCGCGTCGACCTCCCTCCCAGCAGCGTGCGCCGCCACCTTAGCTCTCAGCTCGGCGCCGGCCCATCCAGTGAGCGGCTCTCCCCGCCAAGCCGCGTTCCCCGCAGCCTTGCTAGGCCCGCGCGGCCGTTCAACGAGGCGCGCAGGACCGTTTGGGCTCGCCCGGCGGCAGCTGCCCGTGGAGCGTCCGCAGGAGCGCCAGTCGGCCCCACCTGGCCGCCGCTCTCCAGAGCGAGCGGGACCAGCTCTGGGTGCGGGTAGCGGGTCCCCTCCTGGCGCGCTCCAGCGCCAGCGCCAGGCCGCCATCTCGCGCAGATGCGGCCCTTGCCACGCCTTGCCGTTCCGGATTGCCGACGTGACCGGGTCCAGCCTCCTGGGAGAGCAAAGCTCCGGTCGAGCCGCGCCTCGCGCCCATCGGCGGCGCACCTCTTAGCGACCATCTTCTCCACCAGCGCCGGGGCGCCCAGCGCGTCCTCGAGCACGCGGGCCCAGGCGTGCTTGACTCGCTCGTGCCGGCCCGTGTGTCTGGGGCCCCGCGGGCAGCACAGCGCGTGGGTGCCCACGGGGTCCTGCTGCGCCTGCGCGGCCGGCGCGCCGGCGCGAGTGCAGGCCTCGCACACCGGCGGCATCTGCAAGGGCAGCGCCAAGCGCAAGTGGAATTCGTCGTCCAGCGCCCACTCCTCGCCCTCTTCTGCTGGCAGCGGCCAAGCGCCGGCGCCCGGTCCACCAGCCGAGCGAACCAGCGCGCGCAAGTCCTGTGGGAGCTCGTCGAGCAGCGCGTCCCGTGCCTTTTCCGCCAGCGTCTCCCCCCAGAGCCTTTGCAGGTGGCGCCGCGGCTGCGTCACCCCCACCCGCACTTCGTCATGTGTCTGCACCCCCGCCCCCGCAAGCGTGGTCACGAGCTGCTCCAGCCGCGCCTCCAGCAGGGGCGTCCGCGTCGCCAGGGCCTCGACTGAAGATGCCCCCATCGCCCTGGACACGGCGGGCAAAGCTGCCGCCTTACTGGCTAGCAGGGCAGCCGGTGCCGTCCGCATCGCGCCTGGGAGCCCCATGCCGCCCGCACGCAACGGCAAGCGCGGCCAGCGAAGGCGGGTGAGGTCCAGTGGACGGGAGCGTCCTACGGCGGCCGCCGAAGCGGCCACCGTGTCGTCCAGCTGCGCCAGGGTGGCATTGTCGGCGGGGAGCGTGCGCAGGTGGAAGCCTGGATCCTCGGACCTCCTCCCCGAGGAGGACGAAGGGGATCGAGACGGAGGAGGAGGAGGAGGAGGAGGAGGAGGAGGAGGAGGAGGAGGAGGAGGAGGAGGAGGAGGAGGAGGAGGAGGAGGTCTGAGGGCGCGATCTCACAAAGGAGGCACCTGCCTTGATGCCTGCCCAGTCCAGCGTCCACCAGTGTAGCTGCAGCCGCGTGCAGGCGCGCGGGCGGCGCTGCAGTGGAGCCTGCCAAGCCGCCGCCGCCGCCCCGGCCGTGCCGCGGGCCCCGACGTCCAGGGGGGCGCGGAACGTGGCCGGCTGTCGTACAGCCAAGACGCTGAAATAAGGAACAGTTTGGATTCGGAAGGGGCTCGATGTTCCTTACGTCCTTCCACGATGTTCCTCCAGCCCTTCTCGTGCACCCAGGCTGTTTTGAGGCCACAGAGGGGCTTCGTTCCTTATTTGGCGTTCCTTAGTTCAGCAGCCCGACTGTACCCTGGCCACCGGCACGCGTGCCTGCGTCGCCAGCGCCGTGAAGCTCAGATCGGCGGTGCCCTCCGGTCGCCAGCAGGCCTCGACGCCGCAGGCCGGCTCGGGCGAAGGCTGGCCCCGCCGCCAGGAGGACGTGCGGCATCGCCGGTGGCGGCAGGAAGACGTCGGCGTCATCCAGGTATGCGGCCACATCCTTCCCTCCCTCCCTCCTCCACCTCCCTCCTCCGCCTCCCTCCTCCCTCCTCCCTCCTTCCATCTTCCTCCTTCCTCCTCCACCTTCCCCCCTCCTCTTCCTCCTCCCTCCTCCTCCTTCCTCCTTCCTCCTTCCTCCCTCTACTATGCCCAGTCTCACGGGCTATGTGATGCATCTGAGCATTGGTTATGCACCTTGGCACGAGAACCACCCCAACGCCGTAGCCAGCACCCTTCTCCTCCCTCCTCCATCCTTCCTCCCTTCCCCATCCTCCTCCTTCCTCGGTCCTCCCTCGGCGCGGTCTGCGCGGTGGCGAGGCATCTCCTAGGATTTCTTGGGTCTGCGCCGGAGCCCTCTTGGCGGCGCCTCCGACGCCGCCCTCTGGCGTGCTCCACGCGCCAGGAAGGGCAGCCCAGCGCCGATCCGAGACATCCGCGCGGACCTCCGAAAGTGCATTTTTCTGCAGTTCTTTTCTCAGGAGGGAAAAAGCACACAGACACAATTAATCGTCGATTCCCCAGAACGTATAGGAAAATATGGGAAGTGGGGGTGAAGACAAAAACCGAGGAAAAATATGAAAATATGAGGGATCCGGGGAATTGTGTATATTTATTTGTGTGTCCCAGGGCCCCTTCATTTTCTTCTTCCAGATATGACCACGCGGCAGGCATACCAGGGCTCACTTTGACGCGGCTGGATTCCGGCGGACGCTACGGCTGGAACCGTGGCCTATGCGAGGCCTCACTGGGGTACGTTTATGTCGGGCCTGTCCCTCTACAGGGGGAATATTCAAAAATACAGTAGTCAACAAATATAGTTTGGTGACGATTTTCGGAGTACAGTTTCACCATTTTGGGGCATTTTTGGGGCATTTATTATTTTTCGTCCAAAATCCCCCTGTAGGGGGACAGGCCCGACCTAAGGGTACGTGGCCCCGGGAGTGCGCGAGCCCGCCCAAGGTCCACCATACCTTCCCGAGCTGGAGACCGAAGCTGTCTCGGGCGGGGCGCCTCCAAGCAGGGGGTGCACACCAGAACAGGAGCGCATGAGCCTCGACTCTCGGAGTGCCGCGCGTGCTCTTGGGGTCGGCGCTGTGGCCCCCTCCCTGCGCCCCCGGCGGCGCCTCTTGCACGGCCCCCCGGTGCGCGCTGGGGAAGGCACCGCGGCAGGCGGGCCCGGCGCCGACCCAACAACTCCGCGCGGGCCTCGGAGAGTGCAGTCTTTCGGGTCGTGGGGGCACCCGTGGCCACCCGTACGGGCGCCATGTTCCGCCGGCTTGAGGTTGGCATCGGTGGGTCACGCCCTTCTGCGGGATGCGCTGCCAGGATGCTCCGAGGGATTTTGATTTGGGTCAGCCGCTTGTGGTGCTGGAGCTGGGCAACCTCCAGTTACGGATACAATGAATGATTCAGGCGTGTGGCAGCGCATTTTCAGAACGTTCCAGGGCGTTGTCTGGAACGCAGGGGACAACAACGTAGTTAATCGCGAGACCTATACGACTACCCTTCCCTTCTGGTGATAAGGAGGTTCGGGGGAGTGAGGAGGCAACGTCTCACTCAATCGATCTACCTATCGATCTCACTATCGCTCTCACTACCGATCGCACTATCGGTCTCACTATCGATGTAACTATCGATCTCACTACCAGTCTCACACTCGATTCCAGTATCGATGTCACTATCGATCTCACGATCGACCTCACCATCTATCCCACTATCGATCTCACAATCGATCTCACCTTCGATCTCCCTCTCGATTTCACTATCGATTGCACTATCGATCTCACTATCGATCTCGCTTCCGATCTCGAATTTGATATCATATGTATCACTATCGATCTCACGTTTTTTTTTTTTTTTTTTTTTTTTTTTCACAATCGATCACACTGTCGATCTTACTATCTCGTGTGGCGATTTTAACGCACATCCTATTTCGAGTCTTTGCTGCACTTTGCCGTTGATCTTCATCGCACTCTGGTGGCATCCGCGCTGTGTGTCAAGTTCGTGTGGCCGCGCTCTCCTCCTCCTCCTCCTCCACCAAAATAACTATCGATCTCCCTATCGATCTCACTATCGGTCTCACTTTTGATCTCACTGTCGATCTCGCTGTCGACCTCACCACGGGACACCTACAGGATTCCGAGGGGATGCCGACGGGACACCCGCGGGACACCGACGGGACACCACCGGTCGCGACGGGACGCCGGCGGGCGGGACACCCCCGGCAACCGCCAGCCAACGGGGGGGGGAGGGTCTGCCGTGTGGCCCGCAGGGTTCGTTCCTCTCGCCCGCCCGCGCAGCTTCGCCTCGCCCGCACGCACGACACGAACACATAACCAAGACCGATCTCCCTGTGGGGGGCTCTCCGTTTCACTGCGACCTCACCCCCTCGCCTCTCAGGAGGGGAAAAGGTACACGGACACGATTATTCGGAAAGAGAACAACCCAGAACATGTGGGAAAATAGGGGGAATCCTGTTATTTGATCGCTTCGCTCATTCCGCCGGCCCTGGAGCGCTACTTGGGCCTCTTGGGGCCGTCTCGGGGGCCTCTTGGGGGCCTCTTGGGAGCGTCTTGGGGCTCTTTGGCGGCGTCTTGGGCCCCCCTGGGGCCTCCTAGGGGGCTCTTGGGGGCCCCTTGGGGCGGGAGGGGGGGTAGTCGATTGCAGCCACCCCCTCGGAGGCCACGATACTTGTGAGAGGTGGCGAAAAAGAACCTCCCCCTTGAGGATCGCCCGGGACCCGGCCGGGGATCGGCTGGGGTACTTTTCGTCCGGGGGCCCCCAGGGGCCGCCCCGCGCGCGAACTAGAAATATTGTTAAGTAGTTACAAGAGATCTTAGCACGCCTCTGGCCCGTTGGGCCGGCGAAATTGTGAGTGTATTTGTTTGTGTGTTCCTGGGCCCCTTCATAGTGCCTTTCTCGCATGCTCGCTATTTTTTTGGCGTGCTGAAGGGCCCTCGTCGCCACGGCCAGCCCTTCCCGTTGCAGATACTTGCCGAGAGCGCCTCCGCGTGCATGCGCTGGAGGTCCTGTGGCCGCCGGAGCAGCCTCCAGGCCCGCCAGTCTTCACGGATCCCCGAGCGCCTCCTCCTCCTCCCTCCTCCTCCTCTTCCTCCTCCTCCCTCCTCCTCCTCCTCCTCCTCCTCCTCCTCCTCCTCCTCCTCCTCCTCCTCCTCCTCCTCCTCCTCCTCCTCCTCCTCCTCCTCCCCTCCTCCTCCTCCTTCTCCTCCTCCTCCTCCTCCTCCCCTCCTCCTCCTCTCCTCCTCCTCCTCCTCCTCCTCCTCCTCCTCCTCCTCCCTCCTCCTCCTCCTCCCCCCCTCCTCCTCCTCCCTCCTCCTCCTCCTCCTCCTCCTCCTCCTCCTCCTCCTCCTCCTCCTCCTCCTCCTCATCCTCCTCCTCCTCCTCCTCCTCCTCCTCCTCGTCCTCCTCCTCCTCCTCCTCCTCCTCCTCCTCCTCCTCCTCCTCCTCTTCGTACCTTGTTCTCCTGGCACCCTTGCGCTCTCGCGTGAGAGGGGGGAGGCGTCGCGCTTCCCGCCCGCAGGAGCGCCGACGCTCCGATCTGCCTGCGCACGCGGGTACGCCCATGGGCCGTCCCGCAGTTTGGAGCTCCGAGCCGAGGCGAGCCGAGCCGCGCTTCGGGCCCTCCGTGCCGCCTCGCCGACGCCTCGGCGTTGCAGCGCGATCCGGATCCCGGTCCCCTCAGCTCCACCCCGCCCGCACATCGGCGACGGCACCGGCGACGAGGCGTGAGCTTGCGGCCTCGCCTGCTGCGGGTCACCTGAAGGTGGCCACCCGCAGGGGCGCGCGGGATGCCTCGCGCGTCACAGCCTACGCTGGAGAGGTGCTGTTCTTGCGGGTGGGTCGAGGGGAGCGGGGGCCGCGAGTGTGCGCAGAGCAGAGGCCAGGGGCCTCCACCGCGCTTCCCCGCGCCCGCCCCTGGAGCCCGACAGCCAGACGGCACCGCGAGGCCGTGTTCTACTGCTCCGAGGCCTGCCAGTACCAGGACTGGCGGCAGCACCGCAAGGCCTCGCCCTGCGAGGGAGGGGGGAGGAGTGGGGGGGGGAGAGGAGGGATCCATGCCTCCATCTTGTGTTGTCGTTTTTTCAATCCCAGAGTTTTTTTGTTGTTTTTTTCTACTGCCCGTTCTAGTGAAGTTGCTGGCTCCCGAAACCCAGAACCAGGACCCTCTGAACTTGATCTGGGAGAGACGGTTGTTACCAGGAGGCCCACAGGTAGAGAAACACATCGTCGGATGCCTGGGGAGAGGGGAGGAGGGAGGATGGAAGGGGGAGCATTCGGAGGCTGAAAACGTGAGCGGGTTGGAAACACTGAGCACATCGGTCCTCGAACCCCGGCCGGACTTGGGACCTTTCGGGAGCCCCAGATCTGGCCGAAAAGGCGCGTCGCCCCGAAATGCCAAAGCGTCCATCCCTCTCCTCCGACGTCGATTCTTGTTCGTGAAGTGTGCTCCCCCGGGATATCGTCCCCTTGACTGGGGCCTGCTCTTCACCTCGAATCATTATCGTAATCGCCGGAACCAGGGTCAGGGCTAGCGTGAGCCAGCCAGGCCGCCAGATCTTGCAGGAACCTGCAGAGTCGGGTATTGGGGCGTTGCGGCGTACCATTCCTTAACATATTGGCTTGGTCGCTCGTAGACGCTCTGGCGAAATGCGGCAAAGGCCGCCCCGACCCAGGGGGGAGGACGGGGAAACCCATTCTCGAAGGAGAAGCATGGGGATAGAAGCGAGGATCCGCTGAACAACCTGCACCCAGGGTCTCGGTGGGGCTCTTCTCTCTTCGTTCCTTGCTTGCCCGAGAGTTTGCGCCTACGGTTCTGGGCCCCTTTCACGCCCAGAGGTCTTCTCTTGTTGGGGCGCGTCTGGCGCAGGAAAGTAATCCAGCAGCGCCAGAAAGTCGCCGTGTAGTTTCTCGGATCCCAGCTCTGGCTTGCCCAGATTCGAAAGCCGCTCGCAGTCCCGACTCAGCTTCTGAAGTGGCTGGCAGGGGGTAACGCTGACCCGGGCTAGCGCACTCCCGACCTCGCATGACTTTCCCGGGATTAGAGGCTGAAAACGCCGAACTGCCAGCAGTCACTTTTCTTGGCGACGCCTGGCTATGTGGGGCGGGGGGAAGCAGCCGAGAGTTCGGCCAGCCCCGGTATCAAAGTCCACCGCGCGGCCCTCTTAGCCGCCCTCCGCCAGCGGCGCCCAGAGGTAGGGCTCGTTTGGTCACCTCCCGCTTGACATGTAGGGAGCTTTCTGCCGAGCGTCCACACGGCAGTCAGGTGTAAGGAGGTCGAGGGGGGTCGAAGGCCGAATAGGGGGATGTCGAGGAGGAGGAGGATGAAGGGGAGGAGCAGGCTGTCGAGGAGGAGGAGGAGGATGAGGTTGTCGATGATAATGATGGTGGCGATGATAATGACGACGATGCTGATGCTGATGGTGAGGATCATGTTGCTGATGATGATGGTGGTGATGCTGATGGTGATGCTGATGATGGTGATGCTGGTGGTGATGGTGATGCCGATGCTGATGCTGATGCTGCTGCTGCTGATTATGCTGACGATGATGCTGAATATGATGCTGATGATGCTGACGATGCTTATGCTGATGAGCATGATGACGATGATGATGATGATGGTGGTGGTGATGATGATGGTGATGGTGATGGCGACGATCATGATGATGATGATGATGATGTTGATGCTGGTGCTGCTGATGATGATACTGATGATGCTGATTATGATGAGTATGATGGTGGTGCCGCTGATGAGGTTAATGATGATGCTGATGATGCTGATAATGGTGATGCTGCTGACGCTGCTGATGCTGATGATGATCCATATGCTGCTGCTGATGATGATGCTGATGCTGCTGATGATGATGCTGCTGATGATGATTCATATGATGCTGCTCATGATGATGATGCTGCTGAAACGGATGCTGACTATGATCATGCTGATGTCGATGATGTTGCTGCTGATGCTGATGCTGATGCTGATGCTGATGCTGATGCAGATGATGATGCTGCTGCTGCTGATGATGATGATGATGATGATGTTGCATATGCTGATATTGTGGGCTGCTGATAATGACGATGATCATGATGAATATGGTGATGGTGCTGCTGATGCTGGTGATGTTGTTGATGATGATGCTGCTGATGATGATGCTGATGCTGATGATGATGCTGATGCTGATGATGATGCTGATGACGATGATGCTGATGATGATGAGGAGGATGAAGAGGAGGAGGAGCAGGAGGAGGAGGAGGAGGAGGAGGTGAAAGAGGATGAGGCGCCAGTTAAACTCAATCGAAGTAAAGTCTCGGGAGCTCGGTGGCCCTTCCAGAGGACGCCACGAAGCTCCCGAGCAGGGCACCGTGCGGGTCTCTTGCGGTAGGACTGAGGCGTCCCATCCGCCGGAGATCTGGGTGCGCTAGCGGGCGTGAGCCGCATCCCTCCCGCCCGCGAGGTTTGCTCGCGGAGAGGGCCCGGGCAGCCGTCGTACGCCACGTCGGTGGACGGAGGCAGCGCTTCCGCCACTGCGTCGCAGGCGACCTGGGTGGCTCTGCCGGGAGTCAGCAGCAGCTGCGTTCTCCCCTGTCGAGGCGGACGAAAGATCGAGGATCGAGGTTCGAATTTGCGCTTTTTCTTTTAATAATCGACCTCTGGAGGCCCGCTTCGTGCCCTGGGACCGTCACGAATCGGTCTTGGCGAAAGCAGAAGGAGGAGCAGAAGGAGGAGCAGGAGCAGGAGCAGGAGGAGCAGGAGCTGGAGCAAGAGCAGGAGGAGGAGGAGGAGGAGGAAGAGGAGGAGGAGGAGGACGGGAAGGAGGAGGAGGAGGAAAGGGAGGAGGAGACGGAGAGAAAGAGAAGGAGAGTGAATGTGCAAATGACGCAGCTGAGCACCTACTGACGCACTGCCTTTTGAGCACGCGTTGCTCTGCGCAGGGAGCAGAACCGCAGGGCTAATTACGACAACAATGGAGAAGCACAGTAAGCATCGGAGCGTGCACTGCATGTCTGACGGCTCATCACATCAGGAGAAGGAGAGGGTTTTAGCTACGCTGGCTGTCCTCTCACTTGTTTGGTCACTGGGGCCCGCGGTGATCCAGATCCTTTTCCTCGAGCTGATGTTTTTCATCCCGAGTCGTTTTCTGACAGCTTTTGGGCCAGAGAGCGGCTCCCGCGATTCTGCTGCGACGCCCAGATTTGAGGGTCAGCGTCGATCGTGGTCCTGGGAAGAGGTCGCCGCTCTCGTCATCGGCGTCGTGGGCGTGGCGCCCGTGTCGCCACCGTCGCCGCCCTCGCTAGTGTGCGCCGCAGCCGACGGCGCCCACGCCACCGCCGACGCCGACGACGACGCCGCCGACGCCAATGACGACGCCCCCGATGACGAGCCGCCCCAGGCCAGCTCCCCGCGCAGGGGAGGCCCGGTCAGCCGCGCGGGGGGCGGCGTCGGCTCCCCGCGCACGGCCGCGCTGGAGAGTGTCGCTCTCCTGGGTGGCGCCGCCCTGGCCGACGCCGCCGCCGCCGTCGTCGCTGCCGTTGCCGTCGCCGCCGTCGTCAGCGCCGGCGTCGGCGTCGTCGCCGCCGTCGTCAGAGGCGGCGGCGTCGGCGGCGACGCCATCGGCGTCGTCGTCGCCGGCGTCGTCGTCGGCGTCGCCGCCGCCGCCGTTGTCGGCGTCTCCGTCGCCGCTGCCGCCGCTGTCGTCGTTTCCGGAGATTTTCGGATAATGCCAGGTGTTTTCCAGCGGCTGCGCCTCGGCGAGGGCTTTCCGAGGGCGCCAGAGTCGTGTTGGACACCTTTTTGTCTGGCCCGACTTGCGGCAGAAGAGCCCACCCCTCCGTGCGTTGTGAGAGACAGCGCAGCAGCAGAATTATCATCGCTGTTGTGCCCTCATCGGCATGTGCGTTGTGGGTAGTAGTGGCGATAGTAGCCACAGCATGGGAAGACTCAGAGTAGCGGTGTCAGCAGTAGCCTCACCATTAACAGTTCCAGTGGCTGGTCAGTGGTTGCGCCAGTCTCAACACGAGTACCGTCTGCACTCTCGTAAGCAGTAGCAAGCTTGGAATAATGAGGAGCCGGAGGAGGAAGAGGAGGGGGAGGAGGAGGAGGAGGAGGAGGAAGGAGGAGAAGGAAGAGGAGGAAGAGGAAGAGGAGGTCCGTAGCCATTTTGGCTCAAGCGGCTTCCCCCCATCTTGGCTCTAACTGGCTGCCCCGCGATGTGCTTCGCGCTGTCTGGGACTGCGGCTTTTTGAGCTGAGGAGAGACTCTTGGTTGCGGTGCGCACCCTCGTGGAGTGCGATGCCTGGACGACGGTCTTGGGCAGGACAGCTCAGGCACGGATGGAGAGACAACGCCTATTGGACCTCACACTTGAAGCCAGATCATTCCTTCTTCGAGACACCGGCCTACCTCGTGAGTGCAGTCAAGGCGTTCATTCGCGGGAAGGTGGCGCACGAGTCGTTAGAGATTTGGAATTGTGTTCATAAACGCAACCTTGGCGAGGCTATAAAGACGGCCCGAGAGGGCGGATTGTAATCTCAAGCGCTGGCGAAGGCACGCCAGGCAAAGTCTGCGTCAGACAAAGCTCGGCATCAACCCACCAATCAGACGATTCACGTCATCAGCTACAACGCTGTGGCGGGCATGTGCGAGAGTGGGCGGCAGTGCCAGCAGGGATTGGGAGCTGCCGCGTCAACCAGCACCAGTTGCTACAGTGTGGGGACAGGAACATGCGATAATGGGGAGCAATGGCAGCAATGGCAGCAGGCTTTGTGCGAGAAGGCGTCATCAGCTACAGTACTAGACGCAACCAGGCGTAATCAGCTAGAGCGCGAGAGGCAGCCCGTATTGGAGGCCTCGGTGCAGCCAGACGTCATCAGCTACAGTATTGGGGTCATATCGGGCGAGAGCGGGCAGCAGTGGCAGCAGGCTTCGGGCGAGAAAGCGACATCAGCTACAGTGCTAGAAGCAGCCATACGTAATAAGCTAGAGCGCGAGAGGCAGTCCGTAGCGGTGGCTTCGGTGCAGCCAGACTTCATCAGCTACAGTACTGGGGCCAGACCGTGCAAGAACGGGCGGCAGTGGCAGCAAGCTTCGTGCGAGAAGGCGCCGTCAGTTACAGCACTACAGGAGCAGTCAAACGTAATCAGCTAGAGCGCGAGAGGCAGTCCGCAAGGGAGGCCTCGGGGCAAACAGATGTCATCAGCTACAGTACTAGGGCCAGATCGTGCGAGAATGGGCAACAATGGAAGCAAGCTTTGTGCGAGAAAGCGTCATCAGTTACAGTACTAGAAGCAGCCAGGCGTACTCAGCTAGAGCGTGCGAGGCAGCCCGTAGTGGAGGCCTCGGTGCAGCCAGACGTCATCAGCTACAGTACTGGGGTCAGATCGCGCGAGAATGGGCAGCAGTGGCAGCGGGCGTCGTGCGAGAAGGCTTCATCAGCTACAGCACTAAAAGTAGCCAGACTTCATCAGCTGCAGCTTAGGAAGAAATCAGAAGTGGAGGCCTCAACCCAGTCAGGCGCCATCAGCTACAGCAGTGGGACCAGCTCATACGAGAACGAACGGCTGTGGCTGCAGGCTTCGTGCAAAGAGGTGTCACCAGAGCGCGATCGGCAGCCATACTGTGAGGCCATGGTGCAGCCAGACGCCATCAGCTACGCTACTGGGGCCAGCTCGTGCGAGAACGAACAGCAGTGGCAGTAGGCTGCGTGCGAGAAAGCGCCATCAGCCGCCGTGCGAGAGGCAGACGAGCGCCACCAGCTACAGAGCGGAAGGCAGCCAGTAGTGGCTTGGGCACAGCCAGACGCCATCAGCCACAGTACTGGGGCTAGATCGTGTGAGAACGACGGCAGTGGCAGCAAGCTGTGAGCGAGAAGACGTCAGCAGCCGCAGAGCAGGGTGCAGACAGACGTCATCAACTGCAGCGCGAGAAGCAGCCAAACGTGGAGGCCTCAATGCAGCCAGGCGGCATCAGCTACATTACCGAAGCTTGCTCGTGTGAGAACGGATGGCAGTGGCAGGAGGCAGTGCGGGCATATGCGTTGTCAGCCATGGGGCGAGAGTATCAGCCACTGCGCGGGCAGCAGTTAGACGAGGAGGCCTCAGCCACCGAGTCAGAAGAAGCCAGGCTTCATCAGCTGAAGAGCCAGAAGCATTTAGAAGTGCAGGCTTCATTGCAGCCAGACGTCATCAGCCACAGTATTGGGGCCAGCTCGTGCGAGAACAAACAGCATTGTCAGCGTGCCGAGTATGAGGTAGCGTTATCAGCTAACGTGCGAGAGGCAGCCTTGCGTCACCAGCTACAGCGTAAGAAGCAGTCATTCGTGTCCCCGAGACATCCAGACGCCATCAGCTACAGTGGGGCCAGGTCGTGCGCGAACGGACTGCAGTGGCTGCACACTTCGCGAGAGACGACGGCAACAGCCTCAGAGCAGGGTACAGTCATACGTCATCAGTTGCAGCGCGAGAAGCAGCCAGAAATGGAGGCTTCATTGCAGTTAGACGTCATCAGCTAGAGTACAGGGGCCTGCCCTTGCGAGAACGGATGGCAGTGGCAGCGGGCTTCGCGCGAGGAGGCGTCGTCAGCTACATGGCGAGAATTACCCAAACGTCATCAGCAAGCAAAGGAAGCCGTTGATGAGTATGGTGTTCTTGCCGGTTCCATGGGCGTCTTCCGTCAGCAGTGTGTCAGCCAGGCTCAATGTTTGAAATGCGAGACCACTGTATCTTTCGAGCTGCTACTTCGCCATTGCTTGGCTTGTCGCCAGATCCACTGCGAGGACCATGACCTGGCCACCATGCTACACAGCATGTGCCAGACCTTTGTTGGCCAAGTCTCCACGCTCGGTTTCGTGTAGCTCGCGCATTTGGGCGGCACCTGGACGATCATGGTCGAGTGGCGCGACCAATAGGCCAGAAGGACTCCAGGTTAGCTTGGCAGGTGGCAGCGCCTGCGCGCTACCGACGAGGCGTGAGGGGAGGCCGCCTAGCTGGACAGTCCTTGTGCTGGATTCGGCTCGTTTTGCTCCCCCGTTGCCCTCGTCGCCCTGCCGGGTTCGGCTCGTTTCACTGTATCCCCTGCGAAGCCCGGCGGCGACCGCCTTCGGGTCCTCGTCGCTTTGCACTGTTTGTACCCTTGGGAGAGGCTGCTTGAACTAATCGCCTATAGCACGAGAGAGAGAGAGAGAAAAAGAAAACAAGAAAAAAGAGGAGGAGGAGGAGGAGCAGACGTCGGAAGAGGAGGAGGAAGAGGAGGAGGAGGAGGAGGAGGAGGAGCAGGGAGAAGAAACGGCGTCTCTCTCCATCCCACTTCATGCAGACCGTCCCTTCGCCCCTTCACCTCGCTATGCTCGTCATTGCTAGGCGTGGCCCAGTCGGACGAGCTCGCGCTGGCAAGTGCCAGCGGCGCGGGCCCGAGGAGTGTGGCCGAACTCGCCTTGGCCCCTGCTGGTGGGTCGACCCCGAGGAACATGGCGCAGGCTGCGCGACGACCTCTGGGGGACGACCTCTTCTTGTCCTCGTCCATGTCCTCCTCGGCAGCGCTCGCACATCCTCCGTTTCCTCCTCCTCCTTTCCCTCCTGCGCTCATCACCTTTGCCCACCTCCCAGTTCTTCCTCCCCCCAGCTGGCTTCTCCCAGGCACGCTGCTGCGGCCTGTCCGCCCCCGTCTGCTTCGGTGCGCTTTCGGAGTCGCCGGCGCGGCGCTTCTGTGTATGCCGAGTCCCTGCCTGCATCGCCGGCGCTGCCCTCTCGGCGCCTTCGGCCTGCGGGTCGCGCGGTAGTCCGGCGGTGTCGTCGGCCAGGCCGACGCAGCAGCATCTCGGACGACAGCCGAAGCCTCAGCGTGCGCGCGTCTCGGGGGGCCCGCTCTGGCGTATCGCATACGAGGCGCGCGCGCCGGTCTGTCGGCTGAGGAAGTTCAGTCGTTCTAGGCCTCCTAGACGGAGTCCGAGTAGGTGGGGTCGGAGGATGGAGCCGCATCGCCGATGCAACGCCGATGCGGCTCGATGTAGGGCCCGATTTGCTTCGCGTCGACGTCGCCGATGCATCGCCGACGTCGACGATGCATCGCCGATGCATCGCCGATACAAAGGCAATGCATTGGCGATGTGTCGCGATCCTCCGACCCCTCCATCTACTCGGACCCCATCCAGAAGGCCTCCAGTCGTGGTCCTGGGAGGCGTGTTGCTGCTCAGGTTTTTTTTTTGTTATGTTTTTTTTTGTTTTGTTCTGGCGCCGAGCCAGGTCCTGTGCATGGGAGCTCGGTGACGGCACGTCCGGCACGGAGCTCGACCAGTCGCGCAGCCCGACCCTCGCTGCGATCGAGCACCGTGTGGCAGGCAGGTCTCGCACCGTGGGGCTGATGATGCAAGTGGAGCTTGACCCCAGAAGTTCGGGTCACGCTTCTGCCGCTGCTTGCGTGGAGCCGTGCGTTGTGAGGTGAGGACAATGGCTGTCGATCACAGTTGTTGAGTTGTCGAGGTCGACCTCGCGCAGGCGGGCCAAGGTTGCGACTACAAGAGTTTCGGTCGGACACGACGTGGTTCGCAGATCTGTGCCTCAGCGCTTTGTCAGGAACAACGTTCGTGGGGGATGGGCTCAGGGAGGAACGCATCGACACCCAACCGCCTTCTGATCGCCGATAGGGGGCCGATAGCCCATCCGACCCAGGACAGTGCGGTTTCGCAATCGAGAGCCTATCGCCGATCTATCGGCGATGTGTCGCCGATTACAGGTCGATGCCCCCTCCTCTGGGCCAGCCCCCTCTATCGTTACCCCTCACTTTGACACGAAACCAGCATGCCAGCAGGTGCGGAAGCTTCCACTACCTGATGATACAGGGCACTTAGCGACACCGAACACCGATGGGAGGCGCGCTCGTGCATGTGTAAAACAATAGCCATCTATATAATCGTACGTATCTGTTGTGCCAACAATGGTGCCATGTGTCGTCGCCGCATCGGGAGCGGGGGTTTTCTGCGCGAGCCTATATGGACTCACCCAAGGAGCAACCAAAGCTTATTTGCACAACCCAATCTGCCTGTGCCAGGGTCTGCACTAAAGCCGCGCTCGCTTCTGGCGCCGGGTCTCCTCCTACCTTCTCATCTATTATCCTGGTTTTCACTCCTCTCCTCGTCCTGCCTCTTTGCCCTACCCGTCGTCGTTCTCCGCCTCTTCATCTCTCCGTTTCCTCCTCACTCCTCGTCTTCTACCCTCCGCTGACCCCCCGCGGAAGACTCGGGACATATCGCAGGATCGAGGATGCGGCCTGGGCTTCCCTTCTCGTCGGATTCGCTGCCCTTGTCTATCCCCCCTCCTCGCTTCCCCTCTCAGCAGCTATGCGAGCTGGTTCGCTAAACCCGTTCACTACGACCCCCCCTTCTGTCCGACTTCTCCCGTCGTGCTCCCGCTCTCGTTCATGCCCCGCCTCTCTCATCGCCTCCCTCTCCGGCCCCTTCGGGTCCATCTCTCGCAGTCGGCGCCTCAGGGCCTCGAGGTGCGGGCGTGGTCTTTCTTGGAGCGCGATAGCTTTCATGTTGAATTTGTGGTGCAGGATGCCTGCGTCGTCAGAGACTTTGTGGCACCACCTTGCATCCTGAAGATCGAGGAGGAGGAGGAGGAGGAGGAGGAGGAGGAGGAGGAGGAGGAGGAGGAGGAGGAGGAGGAGGAGCAGGAGGAGCAGGAGGAGCAGGAGGCAGATGAGATGTCTGGGATGCGGAGCGCTAGGTCTTCGAACTTTTTTTATCTGTTCGGGGGCTTTTTGGACCGACGAGGGGCTTCCCTTGGCCACGGCTGGATTCTCTCAGAAATTCTTGCCGAAACGCAATCTGGGAGAAGCCTGGGAGGTCGTTGTTGAGGCGCACCCAAGGGTTCTGTTTGAGCCCATTTGGCGTGTAAGTCCACTCGGCCGCCAAACGGGCAACCGAGCGGGCTCGACCCCAACAGGACTGCGGATTCTGAGCCCGTTCAGCCAACGGAGGGGCTGGATCCTGTGTCCGTTCGGATGTGGGCTCACACGCCGAATGTGCCCAGAATAGAACCCTGGGAAAGGATGAGGATGAGAAAGACAGGGAGGAGGAAGCCCCCTCTGCTCCGACGTCGCATTTTTCATTTGCATCCAGGGATCTCGAGCCCTTCTCGCTTTGACCACGAGTCGTTTTGTAACGGTCATGGGGTTGGAGGCAGAGAACGTTGACAAAACATGCCGTTTGTACATTCCTGTGACACCCAGGTTTGAGGGCTCTTCTCCAACAGCATCAACCCTTGAAGCCGTCACGGTGTGCGTCCTAGCTATACTTGCAAGGCGGATCCAGCCATGGCGACGAGAAGTCTCCCGGAGGCCCAGAATGGGCGACAAGAACAGTGCACACATCGAAAGAAGAGGCAGTCGCAGTCGCTTTGCTGAGGAATCGCCCCTGGCGCCACCCCCAATGCCGACCCCTCCCCGCCAGCGGTGACCGCTGGGGGGTTGGAGTCGGCTTTTTTGCGGGTCTCTTTTTCGCCAGTGGAAAAGGGAGTCAACTGATGCACATATCGGCCTCGGAGTTCGGTCTTCGATCTGATGAGCTCGCTCCTCGGCATTCGACCCTCGACCGGAGGGCCCCGCTTTCGCTGGAGAGGCCGTGGAGATCCGCAGCCGCCGCCTGCAGCTCCGCACGGTGGCGGTGCAGGCGGCGCGGCAGCAGCGACACCGCGACGCGCTGGAGGCCGCGATGGAGGCGTACCAGGTCGCCGGTCTACCCTGCTGCTCTAGAGGATGGAAGAGGCGAGCAAGGAGGAGGGAGGAGGAGGAGGGGGAGGCAGGGAGGGAGGAGAAGGAGGAGGGAGGAGGGAGGAGAAGGAGGAGGGAGGAGGGAGGAGGGAGGAGGGAGGAGGGAGGAGGGAGGAGGAGGAGGAGGAGGAGGAGGAGGAGGAGGAGGAGCAGGAGGAGAAGGAAGAGGAGGATGAGGAAGAAGAGGAGGAGGAGCAGGAGGAGGATGACAACGACGGACGTCGCCGACGCCGACGACGACATGCCTTGCTGCGTCAGAACTGACAGACGAGAAGTAGGAACAGGACCTGCTTCTGCCATGGGGCTTGACCCCCCGAACATCCCCACAGGTCGCCGGATATCTTTCTGCGCCATGGGGAGTAGGGTGACCCCCCTAGCGTTTCCTTACCCTCTCAATCGCGCGCTGCACGACACGCACGCGTGAATGCTGCAGCCTGTCCTTACCTGGCCCAGAAGAGGTCTTGGAGTCCGAAGCGCGTCGCTATCGAACAAGTGGCTGGGACATGAAATACACTAAGAGGAGGTGTTTGATATGTATTGCTTGTTTGTAATGACTCTACCTGGTGGTTTTCTGGCCTCTGGCTGTCTTCCGTCAGCCTGTCGAGGGCCTTTGGTGAAACCCAGATTCGTCTTGAATGGTTGCCAGGGATTCGAATTATGACCCGACAGCCAAGAAGGAACACTAGGAGGGGAGGATGAAAAGGAGACATCTTTACAGAGCTGCTCTGGCCTCTGGGGATCCCCTCGTCGCCCCGGCGGGATCCGCCTCGAACTGACACGCTCCAGGAGGCGTCTGGGGGCATAGACGCTCAGACTCCCCCCGCAGAACTGGCTCGCGACGGACAACCAGTCCAGAGGAGGTCGGGCCGGCGTCGGGCCCGGGAGTGGCAGCTCCTCCAGGGCGGCAGGCCGGAAGGCTCGGCCCGTCGGGGGCCGCCACCTGCCCGCCCGCCGCGAAGAGCGCGCACGCGCCCTCCCATGTTGTGCCGCGACGCGCGGGCCGCGTCTCGGGAGGAGGAGGAGGAGGAGGAGGAGGAGGAGGAGGAGGAGGACGAGGAGGAGGAGGGCGAGGAGGAGGAGGGAAAGGAGGAGGAGGAGGACGACGAGGAGGAGGAGGAGGCTTTGTTTTGTTTTGTTCGCGGAGGCCCCGCCAGCACGAGATCCTCTGCGCGGCCCGCCCCCGAGGCGGCGGGGACGGCACTGCCAGCGGGCCGCGCTGCTCCCCACGGCCTTCGAGCGTCCGACCTCCGAGGGGAGGATAGGGGGGGGGGGCTCTCGAGAGCAAGCCCATGGCCGCCTCAGCAGTCGATAGGCCCGAGCTCCCTGAAGCCCCCCTCCTCCAGTTCCTCCGCTTCCTCGTTCACTTCGGTAGCCTCCGTGCCTCCTTGTGGCCGCCCCCTTCCCCCATACATCGAGGCATTCACTTGCGCCAAGACCACCCCCTTCGAGATGGCGACAGCTTCGGCCACGGGCTCCACGACCCCTTGCAGGCAAGAGCACGAATTAAGCGGGGGGTTTATTCGAGATTTCTGTTTCGCCATGTTTCCTCCAGTTCCTCCGTGATCTTCTCCCTCCATTCCCTGGGCTGTTGCTAGCGTTATTGCTGACACTGCTTGCTAACCTGCCTCCATTCTTCAATATCCTCCTCCTCCTCCTCCTCCTCCTCCTCCGTGCGGGTTCGAGTGCTGGCCAGGCGTTGGCGTATGTCAGGGCGCCGCTGGATCAGTGCCTTCCTCGCACGAACCTGCTCTCGATAAGCTTCTGATGCGTTCGGTAAAGAACCACTGACCAATCTCGCCATCCTGCTCCTGCACAATTTTTGTTCAAAGCTGAGGAGTAGGCATCAGGGCCGACAACAGTCGATGCCTCTTGGTCCACCTCCTGCTCCAGGAGTTTGGCGGCCGCGCAGCTAAGAACAGCTTGCGCATATAAGCAGTCTTCATACAATCAAAATTCCAACGAATACGCGACCGTCCCAACTGCCCAGGCTCAACAAAGACCATGTCAAATTGCAGTGCAAAGGTATGTGATCACGTGGATGGCGAGAAGGAATGCTTTGGTGTTGTCTCATCACTCATCAGAGGCCCAGCAGTGTTGATCAGATCCTGCGCCGCGATGGGGCCGAAGATGTAGTCCACCTGACTCGAGCACCCGTCCTGGCCGAACCACGTGTCCTCGATCCTATCCCTGACACCCAGCACCGCAAAGCCGAACTCCTCAATGAGCTCTCGAACCTGCTGGCCAGCGCCTCCGAGCAAATTCTCACGCGTAGAGAGATGTGGTGGGATGGCGGTGGTGCCACATGCTTGCTAACGGCCGTCAGCACAAACAAGCCCAATGCCGCTATTCAAGTCCATATCTATCAAAGGCATAGTACGGGACAACCGAGCAAGATCCACCAGTACCCCACGGAGCCACGATACAAGGCGATTGACCGTGGCGAAATAGTGTGGCTTCCCCGCCTTGCCCCTCGGGCGAGGGGGAAGTAGATTCCCACAGCGGCGAGGTCGAGCCCTGCGCGTTTCATACGGAGCCCCAAAGCACGCCCAGCAATCTCAGGAGTCGGTAACTTCTGCCTCGTTCGTGTACGCTCCAGGACTCCACCCAGCCTCTATCAACTGTGTGCCGTGCAGTTTGCGTCTTTGTATACCCAACCTAGGAAGCGCGCTCGTACTTGTTTACCCTCGAAGCTCTTGGCAGTTGTTCTGATGATCTCTTCCTGACGATCCATTGATTTCATACCCAATGGAATCCAATGCCGAATCGAGGGAGCGACATCAGTTAGCTGCGGCGCCTCTTCTCTCGAGACCGTCCGCTGCGAGGGTTCGGTAAAACGAAGTGTGTATGTGTGAACCAGAATGAAGGCGGGGGTGAGAGATGGATCGCTCGTGCCACCTGGAGGAGGAGGAGGAGGAGGAGGAGGAGGAGGAGGAGGAGGAGGAGGAGGAGGAGGAGGAGGACGGAGACGGAGAAGGAGGGGAGGAGGAGAAGGAGGAGGAGGAGGAGAAGGATAAGGAGGAGGAGAAGGAGAAGAGGAGGAGGAGAAGGAGAAGGAGAAGGAGAAGGAGGAGGAGGAGGAGGAGGAGGAGGAGGAGGAGGAGGAGAAGGGTGCCTGACTGTGGGCCCCGGCTCGCGGCGGCCCCCGCGGGTGGGCCCGGCCTGGCCCGGCCCGAGGTGGCGCAGGGCGCGCGGGGCAGCGCCGTGGACGGCGACGCAGAGGCCGAGGGCCGCCGTCGTCGCCGTCGTCGACGCCCCTCCGAGAGACTGTTACTGTTTTTTGCAGGGTCGGGCGATCACCCGGGCTATCGGGCTTGCCCCCCCTCCCTCCCCCCCCCCTCCAAGGATCACCTGACCCTGCCGGTGGTGCAGGTCCGCGGGAGGGGGGTCGCCGGCATACGCAGGGCTGCCCACAGCGCGAGGGTTAGCTCGTCGGCCTGCCACCTCCCCCCCCCCCTCATGATAACCCGGGGTATCGCCGATTCAAAAAGAAACGGTCTCAAATTCGGTCACACAGGGGGCGTTTGGACAGCCTTCGAGGATTTTCGGCGACCCTGCGAGGATTTCCGCAGTTGTTCTCGGAGGCTCCCGGAGGTTCTTGGCGACAGTCGTCGTCGTCGTCGAAGTCGTCGAAGTCATCGTCGTCGTCGTCGTCGTCGTCGTCGTCGTCGTCGTCGTCGTCGTATTCGTCGTCGTACTCGTCATCGTCGTTGTCGTACTCGTTGTCGTTGTCGTCGTCGCGTCGTCGATCGTTCGAGGCTGGAGGATCGAGAATTCACGTGTGTATGTGTTCGTTTGTTTCTTACATCCTTTGGGGCCTCCCAGAGGTATGTCGTAGCCCCGTCTTAATTGCTTTGTCATTCTCGTACCATCGGAACACATGCCAGGCGTGGCTTGATCGTCGGCATCGTGTTATCGTGTTAGTCTTCATGATCCTCTTCCATTTCATCGTCGTGGTCGTTGTTGTCCTGGTCCTGGTCGTGGTCGTCGCCCTCCTCCTTCTCCTCTTCCCCTCGTCTTCCTTACCCCTCCTCCCACTGCCGCCCTGGAAGCGGAAGCGGGGCGTCCCGTCGTGCGGCGGAGGTGGGGGGGGCAGGAAGGGGGGACGGAGGGAGGCGTGGGGGGAGGGGAAGGCGGGAGAGGGAGGGGCACGGCGCTCGGGCCCCGCGAAGGGCAGCGCCAGGATGCCCCCGAGATCCAGAGCACCGCGTCGAGCTCGACGAGCGCGCGCTCGCGCGCGCGCGTTCGGCGCCGCGGGCCCGCGGCCGCACTCGGCCGCCCGAGCGGCCGGTCGGCCGGCCGGGGCAGGCGGAGGCCGCCCACGATCTGCGATGCGATCCGCCGGCTGGGCCTGCGGCTCCGATTCGTCCCGATGTGGTTCGATGCCCCCGCATTGGCTGGGGCCAGCCTTCAGTCGGGCCTGTCCCTCTACAGGGGGGAAGATTCAAACATCCTCCATAAGCAGTTTGGGAACTATTTTTTGGCCACTTTTGGATATTTTGTTTGGGGGTCGTTTGAACTTTTTTAGTTTTTCGCCCCAGATCCGCCTGTAGGGGGACAGGCCCGACCTGAGGCCAGCCGAAGCTGAGCGCGGCGATCCGATTTCGATCCGACTCGGCACGACTCGCCAGCAGCGGCCCGATGCGTGTGCGATGCGGGCCGATGCCGCGGTTCGCTCCGGGGCTCGGGCCCGGCAGGCGGAGGCCGCGACGCTCGTGGAGGTGCTGCTGGTCGCGCGCCACGCCCTCATGACGGGCGACGCCGCCCTCGGGCTCAGCTTCCTGGAGATCCTCACCGACATGACGGACCGCCTCTCCGGTGCAAGCGGGGAAGGGGGGGGGCCTCGCCATCGCCAGAGCAGCGGCCTTCGGGATGAAAGGTCGGCCTGTCGGGGGTGGGGTCGGGAGCTCCGTGGGCTTCCCGAGGCCCGCCTGAACCACCCGTGGGGCTCTGTGTGCACGGCACCCAAGCCTTTCCATCCTATAAGGTCGCCCGCCTGCACGGCTTCGAGTCGCCCGATTCGGCGGTTGAGTGGGCGAAGGAGGCGAAACTGCTGGCCAGGGCTACTGATCCAGAGCTTTGGCCGTTCCCAGACGAGGAAGGGGCCTAGTTTGGACCAGCAGCGTAGCGGCGCGGTGGACTCGCCGATACACCATTCAGCATTGGCCTCTGGAGTATCGAGGCGGATCCAGCCGTGACGGCGAGGAGCTGCCTGGAGGCGCGAATAGTGCACCAGCCGCTCAACGCCTTCCTCCTCGATCCCTCCCCCTTGACTTGGGCATGCTGCGAGGCCCCTCTCCGCCTGAAGCGCCAGTAAGCCTGCACGCGGCTGCGTGCAGGCAGGAAGGGCAGAGCACCTCGGGCACGGCGACGTCGGGCGAGCAAGAGGATGGAAGAAGTGGAGTGGCGGACAAGTGGAGATCCCTCCTTCCTCCTCCACCTCGGATTTCAAACCAGGTGGAGCCTCCTCCTGCTCCACTTTGCGAAGCGCCTGTGGGGCGAGAGTGGGCGGCCCTCTGAGAAGGTAGGGGAGGCCTCTTAGAAGGGCTGGGAGGCCTCTACGAAGTCCTCTCGAAAAGAATGATTCCGGGAAGTTCCCTGCCTTCCCTGGAGGCTGGCCCCCTTGGGCCAGCCACGTCCCTGACACTCGACATCAGAAAGAGCGATTTCAGTGGATGCTGGCTAGGCGGGGAGTGTTCGAATCAGGGGGGTCTCTCCCCCCCTTGATTGCAACGGGGGGGGCGTTCGAAACGGCCCCTCCTCCCATTTCCTCGCCAGTGGCAAACGACGACGCCGAGCGCCGGCGCCAGCGCCAGCGCGTGCGCCGTCGGGCATCTATGACGACGACGACGACGACGACGACGACGACGACGACGACGACGACGACGACGACGACGACGACGACGACGACGACGACGACGTCGACGACGACGACGACGACGACGAAGGCGGCGGCGACGACGGCGACAACGACGACGACGACGACCGAGCCTTGGTACGATTCAATGAGAGCTGGATCCAGCCGTAGTAGGATTTGATTGGAGCTGGATCGAGCCATAGTAAGGTTGCATCAGGGCTTGGTCCAACCTTCTTGGGATTGCATCCGAGCTGGATCGACCCCCAGGAGAGGATTGCATTTAGGGCTGGACCCAGCCCTGGTAGTATCCCGTAAGGGTTGGATCCAACCCTGGTAACTCGATCGAGTCCTGGCCAGATTTTATTACAGCTAAGTTCAGCCCTACGAGAATTCTACCAGAGCCGGGTCGAGCCCTAGTAGGATGTTATCAAGATTGGTTCGAGCCCAAGTAAGTTTTGATCAGAGCGTTGTGCAGCCCAAGTGGGAATCCTTTAGAGCTTGATCGAGCCCTCGTGGGATTCCATCAAAGCTTGATCCAGCTATAGTATGAGTGCAACAGAGTTGGATCGAGCCCAAGGAGGATGCAATCAAAGCTGGGCCGAGCCCTCATAGGGTTCCGTTCGAGTTAGATCCAGCCCGGTGGGATTCCATTAGATCAGGTCAGAGCCAAAGTAGGATCTCGTCAAAGCTGGATCCAGCCTTCATAGGATTTGTTCGAGCTGGCCCACGCCCGGATAGGATTCGATTGAAGCTGGACCAAGCCTTGATGGGATTTTATCAGAACTTGCTAGAGCCCCCCCAGGATTCCATTCGATTTGGATCCAGCCCTGATAGGATCCGACTTGAGCTGGACCCAGCCTTGGTAGGATTTAGTTAGAGCTGGACCGAGCCCTCGTAGGATTCTATTAGAGATGGAACGAGCCCGTTGTCGTCGTAATGGTCGGTCGTCGTGGTCGTCCTTGGCGGTCGTTGTGGTCCAACGGTCGTTGTTGTCGTCGTTTGCCATCGTCGCCGTCATCGTCGTCAATTGTCCGTCGTCCGTCCTCCGTCGTCCGCGTCGTTGTGGTCGTCGGTTTCCGTCATTCGTCGTCAGTCGTCCGTCGTCTGTCGTCCGTTTTCGGTCGTCCGTCGTCCGTTGTCTGTTGTGGTCGTTGTCGTCGTTGTTGTACTTAGTCATCGGCGGTGCCCGTCATCGTCCTTGGCCATTGTCGTCGTCCATCGGTTGTCGTCGTCCTGCTTCGTCGTCATCATCGTCGTCCGTCGTCCGCCCTCCGTCGTCCGCGTCGTCACAGGTCGTCGTCGTGCGTCGTTTGTCCTTCGTCCTTCGTTCTTCGTCGTCTGGCGTCTGGCGTCCTTCGTCCGTCGTCCGTCGTCCGTCGTCCGTCGTCCGTCGTCGTTGTCGTCGTCGTCGTCGCCGTCGCCGTCGCCGTCGCCGTCGCCGTCGCCGTCGCCGTCGCCGTCGCCGTCGCCGTCGCCGTCGCCGTCGCCGTTGCCGTTGCCGTTGCCGTCGTCGTCGCAGTCGCCCTCGCCTTCGCCCTCGCCATCGCCGCCGCCGCCGCCGCTGACGTTGTCACCGTCGTCGTCGACGTCGTCGTAGTCGTGTTTTGACAGCGGTGCGTAGGGGGATAGGCACCCCTTGGTTCGAACCCACCCACCCTTGGAAAAAGGGTGGGGGTCTCGGTTCGAACACATCCCTTCCTTTTGGAGGGCCCCCCCCTGGTAAGAGAGGCCGGTGTCCAGGGGGGGGCTCCACCCCTACCAGTTTGCCGGTCGCGCCGGATGTTTTGGGGCCCTCTGGGCTTCCTAGGTGGGGTCGGAGTAGATGGGGTCGAAGGATCGCGCCGCATCGCCGATGTACCGGCGATGAGGCTCGATGCGGAACCCGATCTTCTCCACGCCTACGTCGCCGATGCATCGCCGACGTCGCCAGTGCATCGCCGATGCATCGCCGATACATCGGCGATGCATTGGCGATGCGGCGGGATCCTTCGACCCCATCTATTCGGAACCCATCTAGGAAGCCTCTGGGCCCCCCTCCGCCAGGCCGACATGTCGCAGGATTCCCAGGCAAGCGTCCACGAAGCGCGTTATCTCCGATATCACGACGAGCCCTCGACCCAATCTTTCTGCAGCACTTCACGAAGCGCTATCTCTCCGACATCTTGACTGTAGCGGGTCGGTCCAGGTCCCAGGTTCCGAAGCCGCGCGAGCGAAGACGCCTAGTGTCAAAAACATTCGACGCCAAGATCTCAGGGGTTGGCGTGCCGCCAAGCCCCAGGGATATCGACCCCATCCCTGGGGGCCGGCTTCCATACTGGGTCGTTTCCTGATGGTCCCAGAGCCGGGAAACGGCGTCCAGCAGTCGAAAACGTGGAAACAACAACCATCACGTGTTTTTTGGGTGGGCGACGCCTGGATCCGAGGGCACTCCTCAAGCTCGTCCCCCTGGACCTCTCCAGGGGTGCGTTCTGGCCAAAGCAGCAGCAAGCAAAGAAGGACGCCCAGAGACCTCGAGCATCGAGGAGAAGCTATCGTCCTCCCCGAGCCGCCCCCTCGCACGCCGCCCCCCTCGCGCGCCGCCCGCCCCTCCCCTCCGACGCCACATCCTTGCCGTGAAATGGGCCCCTGCCCTCCGACGCCCCATCCCCTCCCTCCGACGCCACATCCGAAAACTGCTCCCGTAGGCTGAATGCCGACATCGAGGGAGAACCGCCGCTGTGGAAAAATAGAAGGTCCAGGTACGGTAGGTTCGTGTCGTGTCGACCGGCGGCGACCCCGCCGCCGACGTTCAACTTTGAACGCCGACGGCGGCCCAGAATCGGTCGATGTTGAACGATCGGACGTTGCGGAGACGGCCGATCGTTCAAGGTTGAACGATCCAGCGCGGTGTCGGGAACCAACGCCAGGGTCGACACGACACGAACCTGCAGTACTTCGGTCCGGCGCAGATTATCCAGGTGTGTATCGTCGGTCCTGGGGCCTGTAGGGGCCCTCCATAGGTGGGCCAGCCCAAGAAACTCTCCGTCGTCTTCCCTTTCCTCCCTCCCATGCTTGACGGTGGGCCAGACGTCACGTGCGGTTGACGTCCCAAGCTGGTGATGTGCTGCGACGCTGCTTTGGGTTCGCTGCTTCGGTCTGGCCGGTACAATGCTGCATGAGTGGTGCGGCGTCGGCCTCGCTTGCGGATCTGCTTCACTTGTGGAAGTCGATTAATGGAGAGGAAGCGTGCTGCCAACTAATTTCCAGATGTGATGTCTAAAATATGTTTAAACTATATGTTTAAATATGTTGAACACATGTTTGAAACCATTTTAGAACATTGTTCCACACCTTTCAAACACATGTTTAATTCACATTGTGATCGGATTGTTAGGGTGTCCATTGTCATGGCGTCCACAATGCTTCACCGTCTCTTTTCGCTCGGCTTGTGATGCGAACGGCACGCGCGCGCGAGCTACATGGCCATCGCCGAACCATGTTGATGCTTTGCGGGGAGAGTCGACGTCAAAAACCCGACGGGATCTCGAGCCCCCACCCTTCCCAAAGTCAGAGGCGACGGCAGGGGCGAGAATAGCCCAGGGGAGAGCAATACACGTATTCAGGGGCGCCGATGATCTATGTCTTCGAAGAGGCTCCCGGGCGAACACGTGTAGTACCCGCCCCTGGGCTATTCGCCCCTATCGTCGACGCCGACAAAACCGCTCACCGTACTCATCCCGTGGTCCGTCCTGGCCAGTTGGTCCTGCGTCAAACCATGGCCACGGAAGCGACGACGGCGTCGTCGTCGGGCCGCCCCCATCCTCCCCCTGCAAATCACCTGTCAAAACCTGTTCCCGGACCACTCCTGGGCCACATTCCTGCATGTTTGTTTTGGGAACCCTTGATCGACACCTTACTGTTCCGAAGCCCGAAATTGCCCGCCAGAGGCCGATCATGGCGAAACACCTCCTCGAGCCTCCCCCTCCACCCCGCAAGAGTCGGGGGGGTCTCCTCTTTGTTGCGGCGCCTCCTTCCCTCCCCTCTTCTGTTTTCTGTTGGGTCTATCCGCAGATGGAGCAAGGGTGCCTTCCTCACCCGAGTCGAGTCCGAATCCGATGCCCACCCCCCGAAAAATTTGGATTCACGAAGGTGAAGCGAAGTCCGACTCTCAATCCCCCCTCCTCCTGGCTTCTCTGCGCGCGTGTGCATCCGGTAGCACGTCCGTCGCCTTCTGGAGGTCCAGAGAGGGGCCGCTTGTCCTGCCCTTCCACACCCTTTTTTGACCTCTCGCTGTGGCGCCGCTGCCTTCATGTCATGGCTGTCTGCCGGTCTGGCCCGCGCTGGAGCCTGGGTGCGGCCTGGGCGAATCGCTGCCCGGCCAAGACAAAAAGAGGAGGTTGAGGAGTGGGAGCTAACTGTCCTCCTCTGAGCACCAAGCGTCCGAGGCGGCCCCACGGCGGCGACGACGGCAACGGCAACAGCAACGGCAACGGCAACGCCAACGCCAACGGCAACAGCGACGACGACGACGACGACGACGGCCGCCGAGAACCTCCCGAAGGAGCTTCTGGAAAGGAGGTAACCGAAAGTCATCGAGGACCACCGAGCGACCGCCGAACAGCTCCTAGAATCACCCCGAGCTGCCTGCGACGGCGCTGGCGACGGCGGCGGCGGCGGCGAGGGCGAGGGGCACGGGCCCTCCGCCAGCCGCCTTCCTCCTCTGCTGCGCGAGGCGTCCGCGGGGCGGCCCCGTGGCGACGGCAGCGGCGACGGCGGCGTGGACAGCACCCGGCGGCGGCGGCGAGGGCGCGGGGCGCCGGGGCTTCTCGGAGTGGTGCCCCCCCTGCCGGGCGCGAGGCGTCCGCGGCGGCCCTGGGGCCCTGCTGCAGCCCTGGGCCGCGGCCGCGCTGCTCTGCAGCGCCTCCGAGCTCTGCCAGCTGTACGGCCACGGGCAGCGCGCCGAGGACCCGGCCGCGGTCGGCGGCGGCCGGCGGCCCTCGGGCGGCGGGCGGCGGCCTGTTGGGTGGCGGTCGGCAGGCGCCGGCGGCCTGCCCGGCTGCGACGACGGCCCTCGGCCTCGGTCCCGCGGGTCTAGGCCTCCGACGGCGCGGTTGGTGGTTCGAGTCCTGGGCGGTTCTCGTTTTCGAGCTGTTTCCGCTTCGAGCTCTCCGCTTCTGCGAGCTCTTCCTCCGCGCTGAGCATGCCCTCCGGCTTGCACGCACAGGGGCTGGCTGTGGTGAGCGTGCTCCTCCCGCCCCCCGCGCGCTCCTCCCCCTCATCATCCCGCCGCCCGCCGTGCCCAATTCGGCCACCTGCATCCCACGTCTGCCTTGAAACTTTGAACGCGGCTCGGATTCCAGCCGCTGCGGCAAAACAAGTTCTCGACATGTTTGCCCCCAGGGGCCCGTGCCGAGCCCAGGGGCCACCAGAGATACGGAGCGGAAAGCTTCCCTTGGGGAAAGGGTTCAGGCCTGTCTCCCGAGATTTGGCTCGCCTATGACGGTTTGGCCATTGTGCACTTCCTTGCCGACCGGCGTATATGCTTGGGCATTTAATGCTTGCCTGTACTTCTCTGGTGGAGCCAAGGGCAACGGCTTCCAGCAGTTGGGCACTGAGGGACTGTAGTGGTGGAAGTTGCTTGGTGGCGTGGTGTTTGGAAACAAAAAAACCTGTCCCCTGAGATGTGCCCAAATTGGTATGATCTCTGGATGCCATCTTGTATATCGCGGGAGACTCCTCGTGGCCACGGCTGGGCCCACCTCGACATTGTGGCAAGAGCGCGGCCCCCGGCAGAGGTCCCTTGAGCGTGAATCAAGGGGGGGCGACAGATGGGGGGGGAAGAGATGTGCCCTTCACGGGCCCTGAAGGCTTCCCCTTGGGCCCTCGAGGGCCCCTTTTCTGTCCATGCCTCGCCGCCCAACTTCCGGGGGCGATGTCCGACCCTTGGGGGCTCAGACTCGGGGGTCCCCAAACGGGGTGGTGACCACACCGTGCGGTGAGCCGGTAGGGATTCGGGGTCACCGCACGGTTTTGGGACTCGGGTCGTTCTCCGAGGACGTCTCGGACGACTGGGGCATCCGTGGTCCCAAGACCGTGCGGTGACGGACCGTGCGGTGAGGTCTTGGGGGATGTCGAGGTCACCGCACGGTCTGTCACCGTCCAAACAGACCCCTATCGGCGGCGCGGAAGGCCTGGCCGCGACGACGACGTGCCTTCGGCGGCGGTCGGCGGCTTGGGGCCGCCGTCGGCGGTCGGCGGCGGCTGGCAGCTGGCGGCTCTCGTGGGCCTGCGACGGCGGGGTGGGTGGCGGTCGGCGGCGGACGTCGGCGGCGGCTGCGGGACGGCTGCGCAGTTCGGCCTCCCGAGGCCGTGTCCCCGCCCTGGGGGCGCCCGTCCGTTTCGGGCCGAGCGAGAGCGAGGGGTAGGGAAAGGGGGGTTGCAGAGTCTGCTGCGTGCAGCTAGTTTCGGCCCCGCTGCGGGGCCCATTCCCCGATACATGGGCGCCTCTGGCGCCAGGAGGCGCCAGGGGAATCATGTACGTTGAGCTGATATACCAAACCCCCCTTTGCTATCCCCCCTTTCGTGCGACCCGACCATTGACTCAGCATGAGGGGCTGGTCGTGGGGAATGTCCAGGCTTCAGGCGTCCACGCAGTGAAAAACAATCACGCCGTCGTGGGTCCAGGTCCGGCGATTGGTGGCCTTTGCGGCGGTTGGCGGCTTTCGGCGTCGGTCTGCGGTAATAGTGCCAGCAGCAGTGGTAGCAGCAGCGCCTGTAGTAGCAGTCGCAGTCTCAGCTGCTTGCGGACGCGTGGTGCTACCTTAGGCTCTGTGACGATGGACCCTAGTGAAGGCGGCGGTGGCAAGGGGATATGCGGGTGTTGAGCGCGTGCAGGACTACGCGCGGGCTTATCTCGCAATGGTGCGCCGAGCACATGGGGAAGGCTCTCCGCTGGGGTGCCGCTGCCGATGCTGGCCGTCACCGAGCCCGTCTTGCCAGTGCAGTGCGTCTCCCCGTGCATGTATGGTCACGGGCATGCGAGAATCGCTCCCTCGCACAGGGCGGCGGCCTGACCGCTGCAGTTGCGGGAGGGTGTGCATGCCTCCGCGCCTTGCCCTTCCATGCTCTGCTCCGAGCCAGTGCTCGCCACGACCAGACCAGGGAACGAACTGTGTGAGGGCCACTCCTGGCGCAGGGGCGGGGCTTGGGCTCTGGCTTGTAGCAGGGTCGGGTCCATAGGTCTAAGCCGCTCGCCCACCAAGACATACTAACCTAACACACCTGGCCGTATCTGCGGCAAGGACGGCTGGATGTGCATGTGCGTGCGAACGTAGCGGGCGGCGGCGTGGTGGTTCGAGGGTCGCAATAGGAGCAGCCCGATAACCCGATAACCCCTTGCAGGTTGAATGCGCCATGCTGCCTGTGCCCCACCTTTCCGGGGTGGGGGGAGGGCAAGGGGGAAGGGGGGAGCATTCTACATGGCGGACGGGACAGGACTGGACGGGGGAGTGCAGGGCAGATCGCGACGGGCAGGGAAGGGACAGTGCACCACACACGACTTCCGACCTGCAGATTGCTGTTCACTGCGTGAGGCCCTGAAAGCTATCGGCCCGATCGTCCCCATGGGTGTTCGTGCCGTGGGCAGTTGTTGTGGCCCGCGGCGGGCTCCTGGGGGAGTCCTCCTCGTTCTGCTTCTCACCTGTGTCGTCGTCGCCCTCCTCCTTTTTGTTCCTCCTCCACCCCCTGTGCATCCGGCTCCTCCTCCCGCTTCTCCGCAGCCATTTGTGGCTCGAGCTCCCTGCTCCTCGCCAGGGAGGGGGCGTGGCCCGCCATGCGTTCCGCGGGGCCGCGGGCCCAGGCGGCCCGCCCCGCCGGCGCGGGCCGGCGCCGCTCCTCTCCGGCGGCGCGGCGGCTCCTCGCCGGCGGCGCGGCCTGCGCCGCCGCGTGGCTCGGGGCGCGCTGCTTTGTGCAGCTGGCTTCCGCCAGCTGGCGCGGCCCGCGTGCACGGAGCTGCAGCGCTGGCCGCGTGAGCATGGGCTACGCCCCGACCGCGGAGGAGAAGATGGCGGCGTCCGAAGCGTGTTCTCCCCTGCGGCAGTTCAAGGCGTCGAAGGGCAGCGTCCTGGTTGGGTGGGGGATGTTGGGCGATGCGGACTTCGCGTACCGCATCGCCGCGATTTTCGGCGCCGCCTTCGTGCCGAGCGCCCTGTTCGTGGCTCAGATTTTTCCCGCGGTGGACGACCAGGATACCACTGGTGAGATCATTTTGGAGAACGTCGCGGCGATCGCTTTGTACGGATCGTGCATTGCCTTCGTGCTGGTCCTGTCGGCAATTTTTTTCCTCTTGGTCCAGTGGTCCAATGTTGGCAAGGCCCTACGGAGCAGACAGTTCTACGTCGAGTTTGACCCCACGGCCAAGATGGGCTACGACAGCGGCAGCGCAGGCGCGTACTCGTACAAGCAGCTGAAGTCGACGGATGAGGAAGAGAGGGACACTTTGCTCGCCGACTTTGAGGTGGAGCCCGTCGTTACCCGCGCGAAGGTCTACCTGGCCAGCGCCCTGGCCTGCGCGGTGGTCTCTGGCGTCGGCGGCGGCTTGGTTGACGCCGAGATGGCGATAGTGGAGGAGGTCACCGAGATGGCGCCGGCAGAGGCCGAGGTCTTGGAGGACCCGATGTCGCCCCAATTTTTCGACGTGAGCAAGGTGAAGCCGAAGAAGAAGTGCGGGGCCGGCTGCGTCCCCGGCATTGACACTTGACGCGCACCGCAACCGCGCGCTTCGCGGCGGGCGCTGGACCCCGAGGGGGACAGAGCCAGAGGAGGGGCAATCGCAAAAAAAACAAATCCTCCTCCCGCTTGTCTCGCGCAGTCTTGTGTTACACCAACGTAGGCCTGCGATCATCGTCGCAGGTGAACGCTGAGCTGCAAGACGAAACACATACCTGAGAGCAGCGTGCGATTGGATATCACAATGAAATCAGTGCGCGCCCTCAAAGTGAGTGGGCGAAGGTTAGACACGCAGGAGTGTCTTACTTCTCTTCCCCTCCGTGCTGATCCGCTTTCTTCTGACCTTTCCCATCCCATCCCCTCTGTTACTTCTCCTCGTCCCCTACTGTTCCTTATCTAACCCTCTTCCTCACGCATGAGCTTGTCCTGAGTTTGCATCTCTACAGGCCCGTTTTGCTGTGTAGTGCGCTAGCGTCATTGCCCGTGACGTGTGGCTTCAGGTTCTGCTTTCTATGGCGTTCGTATTGCCATATGTCTTTGCTTTTACCAGTGCGCTTGCGCGCTTGCGACGATTGCTACTTGGTGGGAGGCATTCCCATTCCTCTGATGACATGGTCCTCCACGCCGAGCGACTGCAACGGCCCATAGATATTCGGGAACCCGGCCATCACGACACGGCAGGATATCCGACAGATGTTCGCGGAGGCCATGCCTCGGACGGCGAAGCGCTCAACCAAGGCACAGCAATGGAGCGACAGGCCTCGTATGGTTGTGTGCGTTATGTCGTTGGAGCCAGCAGCGTCGACACAAGTTTTTGTTTTCTCTGGTGGTTGGTTAGCGGCAACCATGTCGAGTACGCCAGTCTGCTTGCAAGCATGCAACATGTCAGGGAGAATGTCGCACCGTTCTCCGTTTTCCATGTTGGTTCCATGTCGGTGGCGAATCAGGTGAATGGCGCGTGGAGCTGCAGAGCGCGCTCCGTTCGAGCGAGCGTGGGCGTTACTCCAGGCATGGCAGCCGGGAGTGCAGTCGGTTCATGTGAGGCATGCCTACCTGGAGTAAAATACCGATGTTGACGGCGCGTCATGAAGCTCTGGAGGCCGTTGTCGTTGGCGCTTCTTCGTTGGCAGAGGGTTGCCGTGTGTCGTGCTGTTGGAGGCTGGACGCGAGGTCTGCAAATTACACTCCTTGTTCTAAACAGGGGTGCGTGTGCCCGAACGCGTTCTTTCAGGCGCCGGCTTCCTCCTCCCCAGGCCCAGCTTGGTGCTGTCTCGCGCCTTTTCAAGTGGCGCTGCTTTCGCCACGGTGACGCGCATGCGGTGTGAGTCTCTTCTCCGGGGGCGCCACAGTAGAGACCCCCTTTCACACCAGACGCTGGCACGTTTTCGACGCAGCGTGACGTCTTACGCATCAAGCACCCGCCTGCCTCCCGGGCACAGACTGTTGTATGGCAGCCCCATTCACATCAATTTGCGCATGCTGTTTTATTAAACGCCGGATCTTGGCAGGGACGCCGCCCCCAATATGCACTGTGTGACATGTTAAATGTGCCCTTCTGCCATGCTCGCATACTTTTCGGAAGGTGCTGTGATGTTGGCTTGCAGCGGTGGAAATGTAACCTCCCATATATTTCTTCTCCTCCTTCCCATCCTCCTCCTGCAAGTATTCCTCTTCGTCGTCCTCCTCTCCCTTCGCCTCTTTCTCCTGCATCTAGTCCTGATGAAGCTCCTTCGTGTCAATAGCCAGCTTGGCTCGAGCAGCACGGGCGCTTCCGCCCCCGCCCCCTCAGCCCAGCGGTTCCCTCCTCGTCTTAAGTCGGGCTTGTCCCTCCACGGGAGGAAAATCTCAAAAATAGTCAAAAATAGTCAGGGGATGATTTAATATAGTATTTTATGGCTATTTCGAACATGTTTGGGGTATCTTTTACTTTTCGTGCAAAATCCCCCTGTAGGGGGACAGGCCCGACCTCATCCTCGTCGTCGTCGATCTCCCCCTGCCTTCTGCTCCATACACTCGGCTGTGCCCGCTTCGGCACGGAGGTCGCAGTGCGGGCATGGAGCCCGAGGCGAAGCGGCCGAGGACCTCCTCGGACGGCCCGCAGAGCAGGCGCGCGAGCAACACTAGGGGGCCACATGCGAACCCTACCCCTACCCCCCACGATTTCTGAGGGGGAGGGTGGGGTTCACATCGCTCGGGAGCTCCCGAGCGATGTGAACCCCACCCTCCCCCTCAGAAATCGTGGGGGGTAGGGGTAGGGTTCGCATGTGGCCCCCTGAACACTGCAGCACACGAGCACACGGTGACTTTCGGAGGTCCGCTCGGATTTCTTGGGTCGGCGCTGACCACCGCCCTCTGCACGCCAGCGCACGGAGCGCGCGGAGCGCTGCGCCGGAGGCGCCGCCGTGGTGTGTGGCGGGAGGGGGGTGCGCCGGCGCTGGCCCAAGGAGTCCGCGCGGACCTTCGGAAAGCACCTTTTATCGTGCACCATGGTCAACGTTGAGTGGGGGTTGGCTCAGGGGGGAACGCATCAACCTCCAATGGCCCACTGATAGCCGATATGGGGCCCCGCCGGGAGCCTGCGGATTCGCTTTCGGGGGCCCATCGCCCATCTATCGGCGATGTAGGAAAGAGCGTGTTCTACCGCTGCTGGCGGAAAACCAGGGGGGGTCACTACCAGTTCGAACCCCTCCCCCCTCCCCCCCCCCTCCGGAAAACCGGGGGGAGTCACTACCGGTTCGAACCCCTCCCCCCCTACCAGTTCATCATGAAAAGGGGGGGGGTCACTACCAGTTCGACCCCCCCCCCCCCTCGAAAAAACCGGGGGGGGTCACTACCGGTTCGAACCCCCCCCCCCCTCCTCGAAAACCGAGGGGGGGTGCGGACAGTGGTGGGGACGGTGGTGGTGGGGACAGTGGTGAGGGGACAGCGGGACAGTGGTGGGGACAGTGGGACAGTGGTGGGGACGGTAGTGGTGGGGACAGTGGTGAGGACAATGGTGGGAACAGTGGGGACAGTGGACAGTGGTGGGGACGGTGGTGGTGGGGACAGTGGTGTGGGGACAGTGGGGTGGTGGAAACAGTGGGACAGTGGAGGGTACAGTGGTGGTGGGGACAGTGGTGAAGGCGGTGGCGAGGACGGCGGTGGGACAATGGGACAGAGGTACAGTGGGGACAGTGGTGGGGACAGTGGGGACAGTGGTGGGAACAGTGGGACAGCTCAGTGGGACAGCGGAGGAGTCAGTGGGACAGTGGGGACAGTGGGGATAGTCGGGCAGTGGTTGGGGCCGTGGAGAAAGTGGGGAGAGTGGAACCGTGGTGGGAACAGTGGTGGGGACAGTGGGGACAGTGCGACAGTGGTGGGAGCACTGGTGGGGACAGTAGGGACGGTGGTGGAACCAGTGGGGACAGTGGTGGTGAGGACAGTGGTGCTGGGAACAACAGTGGGGGATGTGGCGCGGACGGTGGTAGGGACCGGGAGTCGTTTGCTGGCGGTGAGTGGGTGGGGGGGGTTCGAACCGGTAGTGACCCCCCCTCCGGTTTTCGAGGGGGGGGGGTTCGAACCGGTAGTGACCCCCCCCGGTTTTCGAGGGGGGGGGTTTCGAACCGTTAGTGACCCCCCTCGGTTTTCCGGGTTAGGGAGGGGGGGGTTTTTGCCGGGGGAGGGGAGGGGGGGGGGAATTTCCAGCAGGGGGGGGGATTTTCGAAGGGGGGGGGGGGACCCCTGGGTTCGGGAGGAAGAGGGGAGCAATTTTCACAGTAAGGCGGCGGTGGATCACGCCCTCTCCGATGTAGGTATCGCCGATTCCAGGTCGATGTTTCCCACCGGGAGACAGTGCCTCCCTGACGCTCCCCCTCGGAGCAGCGTCTCGCTCCCCGACAGGCGCGCTTTCCTGGGGCGCTGCGTGGACGCGCCGCGGCTGGGGCACGTGCGCGGCCTCGGCGGCGGAGTGGGCCTGGTCGTTGTCGGGCCAGACGGCCTCGTGGAGGCCGCCGTGCGCGCGCCCGGCCCGGCGATGGAGTCCAAGCTCGAGGAGCCCGGGCAGGTCCGAGGGCAACGTGCGCGGACGGCCCCCGGATCGGCACGAACGAAATGGGTTTGGGCGCCGCGTAATGGGGGGGTCATGAATGGGGGGGGGGCGAGGGTGGTTCGAAAAGGTACCCAAACGGTTCCTAAACGAGCCCCCTGGTGCTCTGGAGGGGCCCGACAGGGGCACGAAAGGGGACCGTTTCTGACCCCCCGTTTATGACACCCCCATTAAGTCCCGCCCGATGGGTACGGGAAGGAGGGGTGCTATGCCCGACAGCAGTTTTTGTTCATTTTGAACAGGACTCGCTGTCCGCGCCTCCGCGGCCTGTGTCCATTTGAGACAGATGGCCGCCTGCCCAACAGCGGCCGCTGTTGGTTTGGGACAACATTTGTTGTTGGGCATTGCAATGTTTTCCGTACCCATTTCGGGCGTCCAAACTGGAGGGTGGCCCCGGGCTGCCAAGAGCAGGCCAGCAGTTTTTTGGTGCTGAATCGCTATAGTAGGAGCCTGGCGCGATCCCGATGAGGAGTCTCCTGTCTTCCAGAGCAATTCGAAGCAGCTCGGAGCGATGCGCAGTAATGCAATGCAATTCATTGCTGGGCGTTGCTGGGCGTTGCTTGGCATTGCTTGGAATCGTTGCTTGGCACTACTTGCCATGTCGTAGTGCCATTGCCTGGCGTTGCTGCGAATCGCTGCTTGGCATGAATTGGCATTGTGCGGCGTTCCTTAGAGCCTTTGCTTGGCATTGCTTGGCACGCCCAGGCGAGCCAGAGCAATGATTTTGATCAAGGACCCCGCACCCTCTGTTTTTTCACAGCGCCCCTCAGGCTTTGCCTGCAGTCGGGGCGCTGAAGAAGGAACTCTTTTCGTTGGGGAGTGGCTTAGTGTTCCTTAATTGGTGCGCAGGTTTCCTTATGTTTTCGATGGGAATTCGAAATTCATGTCATGGAAAAAGGGCCTCGTTTCTTACTGAGGGTTCTTTAGGTCAGCGCCCCGACTGTAATAGGGGTTATGATGTTCCTTCCTACTTTAGCCTTGACCACCAGAAAGATCTTCGAGCACCCTCAAAAATGCAGAAACTCCAGGGCTTTCACGCGTCGGGCCCTGAGAGACGCTCGTCCGACACTGTTTCGACACCGTTTCGACACTCTTTCGACACTTCTCCCGGCGCTCGAACTTATGTCTGGGATGTGGTCCGTAAGTACGATGGGAGCAACATCAAATAGGGGAAGAGACAATGGGCGGTCTCTGGGGGCAGTTGTCGGGCTCTGGGATGGTAGAAACAAGTCGGGACGACAGGCTGGTCCGCGAGAACAGGGCGCCGGGGCAGGGCGGGAGGTGTCGGGTGCAGGGTGGGAGGTCCGGTGTCTGGGCACTGGCAGTCTCGGGGCGGTCTGCCCCGTCGCCGCCTCCGTGCGACGCCCCAGGGGGGCGCCAAGTGCCCCCCCCTGGGCGGAAACCGGAACAAATACATTACCAGTGGCAGGCTTTCAACCCCCGGACTTTGTGAGGGTCGGGGACGACGTCGGGGTAGTGTGGTGTATCATTTTCCCTGTTTCCCCAGAGAAACAACGAAACATGTATACACCAGGACCCCATGTACACCAGGATCCGCTTTCTTGTGAGAGTTTCAGCGCAGGGCCGGAAAAAGCGCTGGTGTATAGAGTTCGGTTCCTTACCTGGGCCAGGGTGCTGAGGCCGCCAATCGGCGATCGAAGCTTTGCCGAAACCTGTGCTGCGGCGGGTTCTCCCGGCGTGGTTCGGGGGCTCTCTGTGGGGATGCCGCGCGGACTGCCTCTGCCTGTCTGTGCTGCTGCCTCTGCAGGGCAGCTTTAGGGGGGACAGGCCTGGGGGGAATGCATCGGCCCCCAGGGGCCCGATCATCGCCGACATGGGTCCGAAAGCCCTCTCCCGTCAGGAGCCTGCAGATTCGCTCTCGGGGGTGTCCTGCCGACCCCGCCTCAAAACTTTGACCTTCCCTCCGATGCCTGTGCTGCTGCCTCCAGCTGTGGACGCCAAGGGGGGGCAACTTGGCCTCCAGCGGCCAGAAGCTCACGTGTCCATGCCCCCACTGTGGCCCCTCGTGGTTTAGGGCGCGGGCAGGGGCAGGGATGAGACCTCCGTGCCTTCTTCCAGGGAGGTCGCCGGTGCGCAGCCTTGAGCCCTGCCACCGAGGAGCTGAGGGGCACCGGCACGCAGATCGTGGAGCTCGGCGAGCGCGAGTTTCTCGTCCCCGGGTTCGTGGACGTCCACATCCACCTGCCCCAGCTCCCGTACGCGGGCACAGGTTGGCGACGCCGCAAGACCCCAGACTTCTGGCGCATGGTTTGTTTTTAGCCGCGGCGTTTTGCCTCAGTGTCGGCCCCCCGGGCTCGTGTTCGGGCCCCAGGACAAACAAACATTGATCCCAGGCCTGCAGGTGTCCTCGGGGGAAGGGGTCGAGACCTCTGGGGCCCGCGGGTTGAGAAGGCAGCATGCCGTCGGATGCCTGGGACGTGCTCCCTCCGCCTCCGAAGCCTCTTTCTCCTCCTCCTCCGTTCATGCGCGGGCACGGGAGGACGACGACTCGGAGCGTGGCCGCGTATGCGGACATCCGTGTGCGTGCTGGCCGCAGCAGGTGGTGCGTAAGGCGGCGCGCGCCTGCGTGAAGTCCGCCGCGTACGCCCGCGGCCCGCGCTCGCTACTGCTGCCACGAGTAGTTGTTCGCCCCCGCCGCTCAAGGTTTGAGGAAGGAGACGCGCCACCAACGCCACCAGCAGGGCCACCCCCACCGAGCAGCTCAAGGGTAGCTCCCCGAGCAGGATGTTGATGAGGTTTTCTTGGTGGGGTTCCAAGAGCAGCGACGCTACACCACGAGGACCCTCCGTTACGCCTCGCGATGGTGATGCTGGCGCTGATTTCTTGCGCCTTATCAGGTGTTGATCGGCCGTTGATGGCCCCCGATGGCTTCCTGGCCAAGTACGCATTTCCCACAGAGGAGGCGATGAAGGACCGCTCCTGGGCCGAGAAGGTCTACCCCGCTGGCCTGGACCTCCTGCTGCGCCACGGGACCACCACGGCGCTGGTTTACGGGAGCGCGCACCGTGAGGCCTCGCAGGTGTTGGTGGATGCTGCCATCCGCCTCGGCGGCCCTCGATGCTTCGTGGGCAAGGTCAGCATGGACCGGCACTGCCCAGAGGGGTACGTCGAGACGACAGAGGGCTCGCTGCGGGAGACGGAGGAGTTCATCAAGTACGTCCAGGCGAAGAACCCAGATGGGCCGCCCAGGAGGCCGCCGCTGGTGCTGCCGGTTGTCACCCCGCGGTTCCTGCCCACCTGCACGCCCGAGCTGCTCGCGGGGCTCGGGCGCCTCGCGCGCAAATACAGGTCGTCGGGCGATGAGAAAAGCATGCGGAGGCACCGATGCTGGCCAGGCAGAGCCAGGTGGGCTTAAGTCGGGCCTCTCCCTCCAAAGGGGGAAGATCCAGAAATAGTCAAAAAATAGTCTGGGGACTTAAAAAAAAAAATGGGGGTATTGGTTGAGTGCATTTTAATTTTCGTCCAAAATCCACACGCCCGACTTAAAGGTGGGCGTATGATGCACCGATCCTGGGCCCAGGATGGGCCTGGCCAGGATCGGTGCATGTGCGTATGTCTCTCTGCTCGAAGGTGCATGTGCCAGAGCCACCTGAGCGAGTCGTGCGACGAGGTGGCCTTCAGCGCGTCCCTCTTCCCAGGCCAGACGGACGCGGAGGTGTTCGGGGGTGCGGGCCTGCTGCGCGGGCCGTCCGTGATGGGGCACTGCGTGCACCTGATGCCAGGGGAGGAGGAGCTGATGAAGGACCAGGGGCAACGTTAGGGGGGGGAGAGGCTCAAAGGGCAATGCATCGACCCCCAATCGCCCACTGATAGCCGACAAGGGCACGATAGCCCACCCCGCCTAGGAAATTGCGGTTCCGCGATCGGGGGCCTATCGCCGATCTAGCGGCTGTATATCGCCGCTTCCAGGTCGATGCCCCCTCCCTCCTGAGCTAGTCCCCCTTCTCGTCCATCCTCGGACAGGAGCACGGCGCCGCCATCGCGCACTGCCCGCTGTCCAACTTCTTCTTCGCGAAGGAGGCGCTGCCCGTGAAGCAGCTGGTGCGCCGCGGCGCGAAGGTCGGCCTGGCCACGGACGTCGCGGGCGGGTACTCGCCCTCGATGCTGAACGCCATCAGGACCCTCCTCCTCCTCCTCCTCCTTTTCCTCCTCCTCCTCCTCCTCCTCCCTCTCCTCCTCCTCCTCCTCCTCCTCCTCCCCTCCTCCTCCTCCTCCTCTCCTCCTCCTCCTCCTCCTCCTCCTCCTCCTCCTCCCCTCCTCCCCTCCCCCTCCCCCTCCCCCTCCCCCCTCCCCCTCCCCCTCCCCCTCCCCCCCCTCCCCCTCCTCTCCCCCTCTGCGTCTTGGGCCCAGGATCGGTGCTCGTGCCTCCCTGGCCAGGCCCCGGGGGCGTGCGCACCAGTGTGCACCGACCCCTGGGCCCAGGACGGCCCCGGCCAGGGTCGGTGGTGCCGGCGTGGGGCATGCCGTGCTGCCCCGGTGGAGCACAGTGCGCGCTCAGGGCAGCGCTGTGCGAGCACACTTCTGGGTCGGGCCGGCCGCACCTCGGGGCGGGGGCGGCGGTCTCGCCTCGGCTCGGCCGGGCTTCCCTCGGCGGCGAGCGAGGGGGGCGGGGAAAGGACAGGGAGAAGGCCCTCTCGGGAGGCGGCGGGACGCCTCAGAAGCCCCCGCGCCTCCCGAGAGGCTCCCTGCGTCTTCGGGGAAGGCTCCGAGAACTTCCAGACGGCGCCGGGGGGCTCCCGAGCCTGCCGAGAGCGCCCGCCCCTTCCTCACCTTCCCCCCCGGGGCTCGCCGCCGATCCCCCCCCCCCTCCCTCAGGACCGCGGTGCTCGCCTCGAAGACGCTGCAGTTCCAGCGCGTCCCCGGGGAGGCCTTCGGCGGCCCGCCGGGCGCCCGCACGGAGGAGGAGCTGCGCGAGCTGCACGACCTCAGCCACTTCGACGCCCTGCACCTGGCCACGCAGGGCGGCGCCGACGCGCTGGGGCTGGGCGGCGCGCTGGGCACCTTCGACGTCGGGAAGGCGTTCGACGCGCTGGTGCTGGCCGCCGAGCCCACCGTGCTGCCGTTCCCGGGGGGCGCGGCCGAGGCCCCCGAGGACGTGCTGCAGAAGATCCTCCTGCTCGGCGACGACAGGAGCCCGGAGAGCGAAGCACTGCACATGCAGGTCGGAACCTGGAGCATATACGTTCCCGGTGGCGGGCTGTTTTTTCCATCCCAAGACTTTTTGAGGGTCGGGGGCGACGTCGGGGTGGTGTGCTGTATGCTTTTTCTCCGCTTTCCGGGGGAAACAAAGAAGAATGTATGATCCCGGGCTCCGGGCCCACGGGCCCCCTCCCCCCCCCCAGATGGCATGGTCCCAGGATTCCTCGGGCCCCCCCCCCCAGATGGTATGGTCCCAGAGACGACGACGACGACGGCGACGACAGCGACGACTCCGACGAAGGCGACGACGACGACGACGACGACCACGATGACGACGGCTGCGGCGGCGACGACGCCGTCGGCGGCGGCGGCGACGACGACAATGACGACGATGACGACGGCGACGACTACGATGACGACGACGAAGACGACGACGACGACGACGACGACGACGACGACGACGACGACGACGACGACGACGACGACGACGACGACTACGACGACGACGACGACGAGGACGACGACGACGACGACGACGACGACCTATGAACCACCACAGCACCACAACACATCCACAGGAGGGGGGAGGGGGGCACCGCACCGCAGCACCACGCCACGCCCACCTCTGAACCACCACAGCACCACACGGGGGGGCGGGGGGGACCATCGCGCGGGCGTCGCGCGGGAGGGGGGCCCAATGGCATCAGCATTGGGGGGGGGGGGGCCAAGCCCTGGACCATGTATACACCAGGATCCCGTAGACACCAGGATCCGCGTTCCTGTGCGAACTTCGGTGCAGGGTCGGAACACGCGTCGGTGTACAGAGCTCGTTTCCCTGCGGAGCACTGCATGCACGGGCGCCGGCCGCAGCTCCCGTCGGGGGAGCGCGCCGCTGTCGGCCGGGTCTCGGGCCGCGGAAAAGGGGCCACAGAGCCTTGGGTTTTCCCCGCCCTCGTCCCGGCGAGCGGCGCCGACGTCGAGCATGTGTGCCTGCGCGTGCCTTGCTCCAGGTCTGCGAGGGTTGTGGAGGACGATCAAGGGAGAGGAAGCATGTTGCCAAATAATTTCCAGATGTCTAAAACATGTGTTAGACATGTTCAAAGCATGTGGTACATGTTTTTAATCATGTTCAGAACCTTTGTTCCTACAGTGTAAACACCTTCTGAATTCAATGATAGGACTGTTAGGGTGTCCATTGTCGTGGCATCCACAATGCGAGGGCCTCAGGCAGATTGTGTTTACGCGTCTCCTTTCTTTGGGGGTTGCTGACAGCGCCCCTGGCCCAGGGTGCCCCCAGCTGCTCGTTCCGTCTTGGAGCCCCCAGGCCCCCCGTGGACCTCGTGAGGGGTGTTCTGGAGGTCGTGGGGGCCTCCTTGGAATCCTGGGGGCACCCTGGGCCAGGGGCGCTTCTGGCAGCGCCCGGCTCCTCCTCCGAGAGGAACGTGCGCGAGGTCTTCGTCGGCGGCCGCAGCGTGCGCCGAAGCGGCTCGCCGGGCGGCCCGTGATCGTGCCGCGAGGGGCGCGCAGGCAGCGCCTCGGGAGCAGGTCCGGGTGCGCTTCGAGAGCCGCCGCATGCGGCTGGTCTCGGCTCTGCCGCCGGCGCCAGGGTAACCACCTGCGCTGCCGCCGCCCCTGGCCAGCATCCCGGGCCCATGGGGCCCCAGTAACGACGTGCACTGCCGGCTGGCCTCGACCAGGAGGGCTGGTGCGCCATCTCCGGCCGCCGCGGCCTCTGCCCCGCGAGCCTCCCGCGCCGCGGGCGCCGCCAGCGGCGCGGCCGCAGTGGCCGTCGCAGGCCGCAGAGGGTGCCGCGGCCGCGGCCGCCGCTGCACGGCACCTGACGCGCAGGTTGGGGGGGGGGGGCTGCCCCGAGATTCGGGCTTTGCCATTGGCTCACGCTGGGCGTTTTCGCTCACCTCTCGGCCCCACTCGGGGAGGGACAAGAGCATCAACGTCATGCCCGTGGGAAGCCCGTCAGCATGGTACTCGTTCGTGTTTGTTCAAAGACCTGGTGCTTCTTGACTGGTAGCGCCCTGATGGGTTTCGCACGGCGGCGTTTCCCCATCTCACGGATCGACCCGGCTCGATAATGGCTCGCAGTTTCTTTGCGATGTCGCATCTCGGGGCGGCTCGACCTCACCGGGCGCGGCGCGAGGCCCCCGGGATGCTTGGCTCGCAGAGCGCGCCAGGCTTCGCGTGCATGCCATCCAGTTCGGCCGTCGCGGGATGCAGCTGAGGCGGGGGATGGCGTGGTTGGCTGAGTGGCGGATGGGTTTGGCTCCCGGGCAGGTGAAGTGGCGGATGGATCAGGTTACGGTTAAGTCGGGCTTGTCCCTCTACAGGGGGAATATTTACAGATAGTCAAAAATGTCAGGGGACAATTTTTTGAATATTTTTTGACAATTTTGGAGCATTTTTGGAGTAGGGGGACACGCCCGACTTAAGGTTACGGGGGTGGCGCGTAGATGGCAGCCCGGGCCCGAACGCTGGGCCTGAAAATTGTTGCACGGCGGGGCGACATATAGACACAGCATCAGTGCGCCCCCTCACCAGGATCCAGGTGTTGGACGTTTTCAGGAGGAAGAGGAGGTTGCTGCGGCTGCTGCATCTTCTCACTTGTACCTTCTGCAGGCAGTCTGTCGTCACGCGTGCTCTGGGCACAGCGGGCTCTGCTCAGCGTTCGCGAACCCCCTGAACTCCGAGGCTCTGAACCCAAACCAAGACGGTGTTTCTTCAGAGGCCCGTTTCCCACTGGGGGGCAACGAAAGCGATTCATTGAGCAAATTGATGAATGAGGTCCAGAGCCCCGTGCGTTTCTCTCGCCCGCACGCTGCCACACCTATACCACGAAGATGCAGCATGCAAAGCCGAGAGAACAGACGGCGTCGAAGGACAACTGAGACGGAGGGATCAACATACAGTCGCAGACGGGAAGGGCAAAGTCTGTGTGAGTTAGCCTGGCGACGAGCTCCAGTCTGGCCCTACGCTACCTCACAGCACAATGACGAAGTCCGAGGGGGACACCGCACGGGAAGGGCAATCCTTGGCGCGGCATGGAAGCGTCCAGAGCAGCGCAGCGCCGAGGTCGAGAAGTGCGGGCACTGGACCAGTTAGGACGTCGGATGTCTGGGTTTGGGCAACCTTGAGGTCTCGGGTGCTCCAAGAAAGAGCCTCGCCGTGGAGGGATTGGAAAGTTGCCTCGCCCGCGGAATGCTGGCAGGGGGCAGCCAACGCAGGCTCCGTTCGTGGAAACCGGCGGAAGGCTGGCGCAAGGCAGCGGCAGTGAAAGCTGCGCCCCCAAGAGATTCCTACACCTTAGGCGATGCTTAAGAAAACCTAAGTTTTCGTCCAGAGTCTCGATTATTCTTAACTTTTCAGATTTTGATAGAAGTTCTGGGTTTTATTCAATTTCTGAGACTATGAATTTCTTAACCCATGATTTCTTAAGCATTTCGCAGGGTGTATTCCTTGTTCAGGGTTGTTGGAGCGGGTAATGGATCTGAACAGCCCAGACCTCGGACGTTGTGTGTTGTGTATTTTGCTCGACTGGCAGAGCCCCAGCTTCACTGCCCTGATGCGTCCTTGCTGAAACGCAGCACGTACCGGGTTCCAAACATCCGTGTTAGGACGTTGCGTGTTGGCTCGACACGTGCTGGTAGCTGTCTTGGTCCACGTTTTGGCGAGTCTTCACTCCACGTGTTGAGCTCCAAGTCAGCACGCTACGTGTTGCGTGTTGAATAAATGGGTTGTTAAGTCGGAAACTGGAACAAATACATTACCAGGGAAGGGTTGTTTTTTCAATCCCAAGACTTTTTGAGGGTCGGGGACGACGTCGGGGTGGTGTGGTGTATAGTTTTCCCCCGTTTTCCAAGGGAGACAACGAAACGTGTGTACATCAGGATGCCGTAGACATCAGGACCCGCGTTCTCTGTGCGAACTTCGGCGCAGGGTCGGAAAACGCGTCGGTGTGTAGAGCTCGGTTCCCTGCTGAGAGCCCAGGCTTCGCGACCCACCCCCCGAGGATCGAAGCTTCGCTGCAGTATCAGGAGAGGAAAAGACACACAGACACAATTCATCGTCGATTCCCAGGAAAATGTGGGAAAATATGGGAAGTGGGGGGGAAGACAAAAACCCAGAAAATATTGGAAAATATTGGGAATATGTTTATTTGTGTGTATTTATTTGTGTGTCCTGGGGCCCCTTCAGAGTAGGCTGTCTCCTGATGGTCCGGGCTGCGCCCGCACGCGGGCCCCAGGATGCCGAGACTCCGCGGGCCTGGGCCCCCCGAGGCCTCGAGGGGGGCCCAGGGCGCCTCGGAGCTCCTGTCGGGAGGGTGAAAAACGCACACACACAGACACAATTCATCGTCGATCCCCAGGAAAATATGGGAAAATATGGGAAGTATGGGGGGAAGACGAAAACCCAGAACATATGAGAAGCTATGGGGAATCCTTTTGTTTGTGTGTGTGTGTGTTTATGTGTGTGTGTCCCAGGGCCCCTTCATTCTGGGACCCAGGCTCCCCGGATGAGGGAGACCTCCAAACGAGGGCTCAGCTGCCTGGAAACCTCGGTCTTCGATCCTGGAGCCTGCCCGGGACTGCTTGGTGGCGCGCCCGGGGGGCGGGAGGGAACGAGGGCATGCCGTCTTATGAGAAGGCGGGAGCGGCTCGGAGCGGCTTTCTTGTTTTTCAGCCGAGTTTTCCCAGAAGCCTTCTCGGAAGGAAGGCGCGCTCGTAAGAAGCCCCTGGTGCTTGTGGAAGGCAAGCTCCCCCTCCTCCCTTGCGGGGCGCGCCGCCCCAAAGTGGAGGGACGGCATTCCCAGCGGGTGAGGGCGCCCAGCGCGGGACCCACGCCTCCGACGCCGTGATCATGTTCACAGCGTGGGCCTCCGGAAGTCTCGACCCCGTTTCCTGGGGCCTGGCTCGTCTTTTGGTTTCCCTTGCGCCCAGCAGAAGTCTGCGGGGGTATCGGGCACCCCTGCCGGGCTTCACTTGGCTGCAGGCGTCGCTCAGATTCTGGGCGCTCGCTGGTGCTTCGGACAATCTGACCGCCTGGGGCAGGCTCTGCTTAAAGGCTCCAAGATCTTAAGCGCACTTGCACCCTAGCTATATGTAGTCTAAGTATCTTAGTTGTACTTACGCTACTTACCTGAGTTAGATATAAGTTACTTATAAGTAACCATAGCGCACGCGCTGTAAGTTACTTAAGGGGTACATATAAGTTACTTATAAGTATTCCTAACTGTTGCTTGAGGGGGGAGGGAGGAGGGGGAGGAGGGAGGAGGCGCGGCGCTCACGTCTTGCCCTTTGCCCGCGCGCGGCCCTTCGGCTTCGCCTTGACTTTTGCCTCCGCCTCCTTCGCCGCCGCCTCCCTCTCCTTCTTCTCCTTCTTCTCTTTTTTTTTTTTCTCCGCCTTCGCCTTCGCCTTCTCCTCCATCTCCGTCAGCAGCTTGCCCCTCTCGTCCCTCAGCGCCGTCTCCCGCTTCAGCGCCGCGCCCCTCTCCTCGGTCGCCTTCTTCAGCTCCACCTCCGCCTCATTCGTCGTCGCCGTCGTCGTCGACGTCGTCGTCGTCGTCGCATCCCGCCTCGTCCAGCCATTGCGAGAACTGGAGCGATAACGATCGCTGGGAGGAGGAGGATGAGGGGAGAAGGGGGAGGAGGAGGAGGAGGAGGAGGAGGAGGAGGAGGAGGAGGAGGAGGAGGAGGAAAGAGAGGAGGAGGAGAAAGACGGGAGGCAGGGGAGAAGGAGGAGGAGGGGGAAGGGGAGGAAGGGGAGGAAGGGGAGGAAGGGGAGGAAGGGGAGGAGGACGGAGCGGGCCCGCCAGTTCTCGCAATGGCTGGACGAGGCGGGATGCGACGACGACGACGACGACGATGTCGACGACGACGGCGACGACGAATGAGGCGGAGGTGGAGCTGAAGAAGGCGACCGAGGAGGGGGACGCGGCGCTGAAACGGGAGACGGCGCTGATGGACGAGAGGGACAAGCTATCGCTATCCTCCTCGTCCTCCCAGCGATCGTTATCGCTCTCCTCCTCCACTTCCTACTGTCCCCTCCCAGCGATCGCTATCGCTCTCCCCCTCCACTTCCTACTGCCCCCCGTCCGCCCAAAACGACGTTAAATCTGCTTAAGCAGTTGGCGCCAAAAACGGCGTTAAAACAGTTAAAGCAGCTTGCTCGTCATCCTCCTCCTCCCCCTCCCGAGCGATCGCCATCGCTACACCTCCGCGATCCCCATCGCCCCCCGCCTTCCCAAGCGATTGCCATCGCTTCACCTCCGCCCAGCGATCCCCATCGCTTTGTTTTTGCATATGCGCGCGCGCGGTGACGTGTCCGCCGCGCCCCTTCTCAAGCTGAGTGAGGAACGATGCGGCGGCCTCCAGCTGCTCCACCAGCGCGCTGGCCGCCATGATGCTAGCGCGGCGGCAACGGGGGCGCGCGCGCCCGCCAGAGCCAGCAACGGCTAACCAGTGGACGGCTAAGCTAGCGGCAATGACCGCACAGC